TCCTTGGTTCAAGGCCCTTCTGTTTCATTGCATTAAATATATCATGCCATTCTCTTCTGGCCTGTAAGGTTTCTGTTGAGAAGTCTGATGATAGCCTGATGGGTTTTCCTTTGTAGGTGACCTTTTTTCTCTCTCTGGCTGCCTTTAATACTCTGTCCTTGTCCTTGATCTTTGCCATTTTAATTATTATGTGTCTTGGTGTTATCCTCTTTGGGTCCCATCTCTCGGAGTTCTGTGTGCCTCTGTAGTCTGAGCAACTATTTCCTCCCCCAGTTTGGGGAAATTCTCAGCAATTATTTCTTCAAAGACACTTTCTATCCCTTTTTCTCTCTCTTCTTCTTCTGGTACCCCTATAATGCAGATATTGTTCCTTTTGGATTAGTCACACAGTTCTCTTAATATTGTTTCATTCCTGGAGATCCTTTTATCTCTCTCTGTGTCAGCTTCTATGCGTTCCTGTTCTCTGGTTTCTGTTCCATCAATGGCCTCTTGCATCTTATCCATTCTGCTTATAATTCCTTCCAGAGTTTGTTTCACTTCTGTAATCTCCGTCTGGACTTCATCCCTTAGCTCTTGCATATTTCCCTGCAGCTCTGTCAGCATATTCATGATTTTTATTTTGAATTATTTTTCAGGGAGTCTTGTTAGGTCTGCCGCTGCAGATCCTTTCTCAGGTCTTGTTTGAACTGTCTTGTACTGGACTAAATTTTTTTGCCTTTTCATGGTGATAGCGGTGGCTGTAGTCAGGTTGCGTGTGTGTCAGCTGGGAGAGGAAAGTCCTTTCCTGCTTGCTGGATGCCTTGTCCTTCTCCGCTGCCTGTGACGGTTACCCGCACTCCTGGCGCAGCCACCAGGTTATTCCCCTAAGCTGCTGTGGGTGGGGTCTCTGTCAGAGCAGCACGGAGCCCTGCGGGGAGTGGCATGCATGCCAGGAGCACTCCTCTGTGCTAGCAGCACCCGTGCTAGCAGCACCCGTGCCAGGCAGCTGTGTGGCAGCAGTGGCCTTTGAGTCTGGCCCGGGTGGCTGTGCATTGGGCTGGGATTCTGGTCGGCTGCTAGGAGTGTGCCTGCTCCCTCTGGCTCCGCTGCAGGTGTGTGTGGGGCTCTCCTGCGCGGGCGTCTACTGGGCTCCTCTGGCTTCATTGCCGCTGGTGCGCGCGAGCTGTGTCCAGGCTGTTCAGTCGCGCCGCTGCGGGCTTGCACAAGCCTCTCCTGGTTCCCTCTGGCACCATTGGTACACGGATCTGCTCCCGGTCCCTTCTGGCGCCACCGTCCCCGGCACGCGCTGCCACTCTCCTGCTACTGGGCCGGTGTGTCGGGGTCCACGGCAGTTGGAGGAACGACTGGCAGGCTGCTTAGTGCCATGTGGGGCTTCTGAGCTGCACTGCCTTCCCCGAGTTTAGGGTGCCTAAGTTTCCCCGGGATTCCCAGCTGCTGGCTAAGTGTGCCAGGACAACTTCATCCAGCCATGGGGTCCCTGTCTCTTTAAGACTTGCAGAAAGCACTCGCTTTTCTTTTGTCTCAGGGGCGCTGGTTGCGGTGACCTGCCCACAGGTTTTGCTTTTCCGTTTCTCTAATATCCAGCACCCCGTGCACCTTGTGTCTGCGTTGCGGGTGCGGATTTCTAGAGCTGGTTGTTTAGCAGTCCTGGGCTTTCACTCCCTCCGTGTTCCGACTCCTTTCTTCCTGCTGGGTTTTGGTGTGGGGGAGTGTTCGGGTCCTGCCTGGCCGTGGCTTGTATCTTACCCCCTTCGTGTGATGCTGAGTTCTCACGGATGTAGATGTATCCTGGCTGTTGTTCTGCATCCACTGGTGTCTCTTTTAGGAATAGTTGTATTTATTGTATTTTCATAAATATATATGTTTTGGGGAGGAGATTTCCTCTGAACTACTCACGCCACCATCTTCCCGTGATCCCTTTTAGGTAATTTGCAACTAGTTTTATTTTTTTAACAATGTGTCATTGTTGCTTTTTAGTTGGATAGAAAGAAAATATAATTTCCTTCTACTGAAAACAGCTAATATAGAATATATGTCTTGGCTAAGGTTTTTTGATAAAAATGGGAAGAAATGTTCTAACATAATTAGGTTAACTCAAACACATTGTATTCAGAAATATTAGCCAGAAGTCCAAGATTTTAATTTATGCAGACAGCCTCTATTATAGTGAACATGTGATACTTTTTAAAATTATTCACCTCTTAACTAGAGAGACATTTTATTCAATCACAGTTCTTTAGATACTGGGTATGTGCAAACATGTTTTGCAAATGAACTCTTGATATAAATGAGAATTAACAGTAATAGCAATTGCTCTTCTGTTGAGCTTTTGCTGTGGATCAGTGTTCTAAACAGTTCACATGTGTCAACTCATGAGTACACTAAATAACCCGAGAGATTGGAACGTATTAGCCCCAGTTTTATATGTGTAGAAACTGAAGCTTCATGAGGTTACTAGGCCACACTAAATGGTCCAAGCAGTCTTGACTGCATCCCTGTAATCTTAACCAACTATGTTAAACTGTACCTAAAAGTCAGCATCATTATGAAGGAAGGAGCCTTCATGTAGTTACAATTCTTGGTGTTTGGCAACTATCTTTCTCACTGAAAGTATTCACTTGTGATTGCCTTACAATTTCATTGATTTTCCTTGCTCTTTTTTTAGTTGCTTTCCGTATCTATGACATGGATAAAGATGGCTATATTTCCAATGGGGAACTCTTCCAGGTGCTGAAGATGATGGTGGGGAACAATCTGAAAGATACACAGCTACAGCAAATTGTAGACAAAACCATAATAAATGCAGATAAAGATGGAGATGGAAGAATATCCTTTGAAGAATTCTGTGCTGTAAGTACAAAGGAGCTGGTTCGTCATTAGTTTGTTTTAAAAAGCACTTAACAGAGAATTCCTTGTTTTGTTGCCATAGAAACTTACATTTATATATTTGATTTTGCCCAGTTGCTCCACATTCTAAGTTTTACAGTGTTCTTGTAATTGTTAATAATAAACAGTTCCCAAAAATTAGTATTTTCAGTGATTGAGTAGAAATAATAACTTTTACTTATTGTTGGCAGTCTCCCAAATTCCAGCTAGGTTATATTCTTCAGGTTCATTTAAAAATGAATGTGCTTGAAAATACTTGTGTGGGAAATGCGTCTTCATGAATTTCAGGTATGAATCCAGAAGCATGGCTTCATGAGGACAACAGAAATGGAGAGCCTGCCCACCTTAAACTCACCAGCTAGGCAATGTAAATGATTATTTTCCCCCCTTCTTTTTCCAAGTTCATGTGTTCTGAGGCAAGGCTCTACAGAGATGGGGACTACAGTTATGGTGAGCCTTGGAAAATTAGGTAGAAACTGGAGCAGCAGCTTAGCTTCCAGTTGAGTAGGTATGAGGATTTCCTACCAGTGTTGCTTCCCAATAGGAGCACAACCACTCAGCTGCTCTTCTCTACTCTGTCCCTAAAGCAAAAGTACTAGCTTTTTGATGTGTTAGGAGTTTTAACTAGTGATATTAGAGAATCCAAAGGAGAGGCAAAGATAACAGAGAAAAAGGTTTGTAGTTTTCCAGTTATGACTAGAGGCTTCTATAGGATGATTTCCCACACAGGATATAAAACAAATGATTTTGGTTGTGTTTTATGTAAGGTCTGAAGTGTAGCTACTTTGGCATTTAAATAGAAGTTCACATTATCCTTTATCTTCCTTCATTTCAAGGCAATACTATACTGTCTGCATTTTGTTTCAGAAAGTAGGGTGGTGCTGTAGCTTAAAGAACAGGCCAGGTCTTTTTGGAAGAGAGTTAGGCCTGCGACTTGAGACCTGGAACTGTTGAGGTGTACTGCTGCAAGTGTTTGTTATCCCTTCTGTGTCTCCTTCACCATTGCCAAAGAACCCTGATGGAGTCCTGTGGGCTGGCATCAGATTGAGTGTGACGAGACCAGGCTGGTGGCGGCAGCACAGAGAGCAGCCAATTTTCAAAAGAAGGAAAGAAAGAAAAAGGCTGGAGTGATAGGAAGATATATATATATATATATAAATGATGACTACTTGAATTAAGTAAATATAAAATATAACTTAAAATTACATGTAAATCACCTGATAGTGGAAGGAAATTAAATGCATCCTTTGGTATAGAAATGATGCTATTTACATTGAAGACATTAACTAAGCTTTGAGTTTATTTTCCAGTGTTTGAGATAAATTGCTTTTACTTATGTATTTCCCTATAGTCCCAGAATGGAGAAGTATGTTTGTGTTTCAGAGCAACTTTTCTAAACATTGATCAAGCCCCTACTTTTGTCTTTATTGACAAAGTTCTTTTTTTTCTGCTTTCTCAAGCTATAATAGTGAGAGAGGAAAAGTTATTATAAAAGATCATATACTATATACCTACTTTAAAATTTTCAGAATATTTAACATATATAAGTAAGATTTAAAAACAATTAGTGACAGATTAAATTTTGTTTCCAAAATTCCAGTGAAATTACATGGATTAAAAAGTAAAAAGGTTATTAACCCACAAGGACAAAGCAAATAGCAGAGAGGACAGCAGTTAAATCTGGCAACTTATAAGTCAGTAAACTGACTTAGCAGACAGGAGAAAATATAATTTTAAGCTACAAACTTGGAAAGCTGAGAAGCAACCTGGTTTATAATGCAGAGTCCCTGAAGGGCTCAGAAATTGGTGGCAAAAGATAACAAATTGGGGTTGAAGATGAGACTAAAAACAGAAGAATTGCTTAAAGTCTGTTTAAGAAACAATTAAGACACCAGATCTCCTTCCATGGTATTTTCTTCAGACAGTCCTGTACTTTAGGGTGGGAGTTTGGAGAGGGCAAAATAGAATCTCTAGGCTGGGAAACAAGAGGCATAGATGTGTGTGTGTGTGATGTTGGGGAATTAAGATAAGCATATTTGCATTTTGATACCTCGAGTCTTCTTCCCTGACCTGGATTCCCTGGCAGTTAGACTCAAGTGCCCTCCAGGTAAGAGATGGGAAAAGCCCGTGTTCAGGAAGTGTGATCTCCCCAAAGCAGTGGTCCCACCAAACCACTCAAATTGAACCCACAGTCAGTAGGCCCACCATGTATGTGGAGGTCCCAGTGCCCTTTCCACAGAAGCAGAGCGCCAAGGATCGCGAGACATTAGAAGAAAACCTCTAATGTAGAATATAAAGATGAAGCCAAACCCAAAAAAGGAAACTTGGAGGTTATGCAAGACCAGTAAAAACTTTACAAGTTAAAAAAAAAACCATTTGTTATTATCCTGAGGTATATGAGACAGTGAATCCTTGAAACAAAAATCGGATGACATAAAAAAGAACTCTTGAAAAGTTTAATTTAGAAAGCACCCATTCTAGGAGGTCTAACACCTGAATGCTAAGGGTTTTAGGAAGAAAATGGAGGAAGGAAATCATCAAAAATGGATCAAAAGTGATGAGTTTTCTGACTGAAAGGACTTAGTAAAATCAGCATAGTATATAAAAATAACCTAAACCTAGGCACATTGCCATGAGATTTCAAAACACTAGGAACAAAGAGATGTTTCTACAAACTTCCAAAGAGCTGGGTTAGAGGAGTGGGGGAAGGGCAGCATACAAAGCCTCAAGAATCATGGCACCAAATTTCTCAGTAGCAAAGTTGAAAACTAGAAGACAGTGGAGCATTGTCTTTCCAGTTGTGAGTTATTTCCAAACTTGGAATTTTTTTACAAACTCAAACTTGATGGAGGAGTGGAGATATGCAGATATGCAAGGCCTGCCTTTTTTGGAAACTACTGGAGGATGTGCTCCCACTGTAATAAGATTGTAAATCAAAAGAAGATAATGTAGGATCTAAAAAACAGAGGGTCTACCATGAGAGAAGAGATCCCTGGGAGGCTGGTGAAGGAAGATCCAGAGATGACCTGTCAAGGTTGGAGCAGGTTAGGAAGCTCGGGATGATTTGAAGACAATAAAACTGATACAATTATGTAATATACTTGCAGGCATTTAGAACAAAAGTTTGAGGTTGAATTAATGGTAAATACATAGAACACCCAGCAAAGTAAAAGAGATAATTATTAACTGTAGCAAAACAAATATGCAGAAAAGAAAAAGTAATCATAGTATGTGATTCTGTTCTGTAAGTAGTAGTTAATGTAGTCATAATTAAAATGTTAAATTTCTGTCTAATCAGAATGAAGTTATTTGGGAGGGTGGTGGGAGTAGGAAGTAGATGGGGTAGGAGATAAGCAGGGGGATGTGTGTGAAAGAGCTATGTCAGTGGAGAATGCCTACAACTTTAAATGCAAGAAAAGGCAGTGTAGGAATATTATTTGGAAGTCCATACTGAAAACCAGCTGACCATTCTAAATGCCTCTAGGTAAAAGGAAATAGAAAATGAGGGCAGGGTTTCATACTGGGCAGCAGTTTAAAAACTGCTTTTTTCTGTATAGTACAAGTCATAGAAATAATTGGCTGTTTAAGCTATATTTTTAAAATTAAATTTCAAAAATAAGTTTAAATTTTAAAATGTAGTGCAACTAAACTATACACAACAGCATGGATTAATCTTTTTTTTTAATAAAACGGAAGAAAATGCAAGAGAAATTATGTGCGGCCTACAAAGCCTATAAAGTATCTACACTCTGGCCTGTTACAGAATAAATTTGCCAACCCTCTTCCTAGAACACAAGAAAAATGCCTACTGTCCTGAGAGAAGCCATGAAAATTCTCCCTAGAGGCAACACAAGTTTAAAAACAAAAACCCAGCTTCTGAAAATGGTTAAAGTACTATGTTTTTAAAATTATACTTTTGATAAGGAGCTTAGACCTGTAAAAAGGAGTTTCTTCAGCATGATTAAGCTTGATTTTTCCTATCTCTTGCAGGTTGTAGGTGGCCTAGATATCCACAAAAAGATGGTGGTAGATGTGTGACTCTTTTTCAAAGAGTGTACCACCCAACACTTTTGCTTTCTTCTCCATCTCTGAAGATCTGCTCAAGACGTCCAGCAATGCTCTCTGTGTATTTAAATGGAAGTATTTTTCTCTGTGAAGCCACATTTTCCAACATGAGCCTCATGAAGCCAACTGTTATTGAACTCTTTATTCTCTCAATAACTCAGTGTAGCACTTTAAAGTCTGAAGGACAGCAACATGACAAGAGCATATCAATGGTGAAGAAAGGGAAGGGGTTGGCTTTTTAATTTATTTTTCTTCATCTTTTATAACAAGAAAGTATCTATATATACATATGTAAATATTTATATATAGATATATGTAGCTTTTTATGTGTGTAGTAGGTTGGCTTTAATTTAATATACTTGATTCCAAAACAAAATGATAGAGTACAAAAGTGCCAAGCAGAACATCAGACATCCTTACTTTTATTTCACACAGTTTTATATAGAGAAGATTGTACAATGTGAGCAGGGTGTTAGGCCAGCTGTTTTCCTTTTGCTGTGCTTTCTCCTTTGAGAGATTGACAAAGCATTTGTTAACCTCCTATTATTTTCCCTTAATTACATTTTTGTAACAAAGAAGTTTGTAACTTTATTTATACCTGTGAATATATTTCCAGGGACTAGTCTCAATGTTGAGCAGCTTTGACTACATCTCTGCCTGAGGAGAAAGTACAGTGCAGTGCTCCTGCTGAGAGCTTGTTCTTCACAGTAACTGCACGAAGCCCGTGGCTGCCTCTTTCTGTTACTTCAGAGCTAGAGCCATTGCATTTATTAACGTCCCTGAGTAGATGTAAATTACCAGTTGTGGTTTTACACATAAAGGCCAGAAGCAATCAAGGCAGACATGGTTTATCTTAGAGTACTGAAGAGCACCTGAAATAATCATGAACTGCTTAGAATGTTTGATTCATTACATGGGTAAATAAATTTGTCATGAAACTTACGTTTGAAACATAAATTTCCCTTGTTTCAAAAGACTGGCAGCTGATCTAAAAAAACTGGTGATACTTAATGTGCACGTATCTGAAAACCCACATATGTGATTTAAATGGGATAAATGTTAATCTGTATGCCACAGAAGAACAACATTTTATCTGAACTTAATCACAAGGCATAGAGAGTGCATGATGGTTTTCTTTTTGATTTGCCCATATTTGTAATGGATGATAACAATATTTGTGTGATTTAAAAGTAGTTTATCACGTTCCGTCATTTGATATTATCCCTTCCCTTTTCTGCAAGGTACTGTTGGCTGGAAGAAAACATTTTGGTTAGCTTTCTAGGACAGTAGTCTTTCCCTATATGGTTTTTCTGTAAAAACTGGTTTTATAATCATAGAAAAGAGCAGGTTGAATCAAGGTGAATGAATCTTAAATTGGGCACACCTGCCTGCCATGGCTGTTCCTTCAGCTGAGTGCTGCACATCAGGGGCTCTGTCTGTAAGAGAAAAATCCCGGTGCTTGGTGTCCTTGCATGACATGGAGTTTTGCATGTAGATCAATTTAAAATGTACCTCTTGTTTACATAATTTGCATAATTTAAAAAGATAATGTTGCCAAACTTTGGAAATGTTAATGTTCAAACTGAAAATCTCCACTACATGTAACTTTCTTCCTCTGGATCAGTACGTGGTTTATAATCCCAGCCAGTGGTTTGATCTGTTCCAGTGTCAACTGCCATGTGCTCTGCTTCAAGGGGAAACTAGTCTTTTGTGAATTTTTTGTACATAAGTATTTGTTACAAATATTTTAGCAAATGCTTTCTATTTCTCTTGCTTGTGCATATCTTGGCTGGCGTTACAGAAAAATAGTGCAAACATCATTTCCTTACTGGGGAGTAAAGGTTTTTCTTTTTTTTAGAGTGGGTGGGGGAGGGGTGGTTTATGTTGAATGTTTAGTTTTTCTTCTGCATGAAACATCTTGTGGGATCTTTAGAAAACTTCATACTGTATGAATAAGAAAATAAACTATTTGAAACTTGCTTGAGTATATTCACAGTGGTCTTTGTTGGATTTCCATAGCCATTAGGTAGTCTTTTTTTTCATTCTTTTGGATTTTTAAAAAACTCTGATAAATTGACATTGGATATTTGACCTGTAAACCATAAGTAAAAATATGCTTTATTGCTGGGTAAATACCCAAGTAATTAAAATGACCTATAAAGCCCCATCGCCTTTTTTTTTTTAACTACTCATCCTTCTACTTCCACTGTCTTGGCCTCCTGGAACCTTGGGCTGGCTTCTGCTGTGGCCATCTGCACTGTCTCTTCCTCAGCCACATGTCCACAGCTGTGCTCCTAGTCTTTGTTCAGTTATGCCCTGGCTCATCAGGAACTTGCCTGGCCACATTTAAACCTCGTAACACACCTGGGTCTCCTTTACTGTTTTTTTCCCCATAGCACTTAACCTCTTCTGGCATAATTTACTTACGTATTTTATGTATTTGTCTTCCCTGGTTATTGAAATAGTTAATGAAAGCTCCCCAAGGGCAGTGATTTCCATCTCTGTTCAATGATCGTCTCAATTGTCTTAAGTTCTACCTAGTTTTAGTGTTTGCTCAGTACTTAAAAATGAATTAGGTAATATGAAACACCCTATTTGTATAGGTGATTTTATAATAAAAGTCCATTCTGAACTTTGTCACATTTCATGAAAGATAAAAATTAGTATTTGATGAACTTAATTCAGCAACTGTAGAGTTCCTACTACATGCCTAGCACTATATAATAATCTCTTGAGATACTTGTTACGGGCAAGTGGACATACCTGGCTTAAATGAGTTACAGGCTGTTGAGGATGTGTTATTTTTGCCCACTCTACCCATACTGTCAAGTAAGCACTAGTTAAGAGATACTGTCTGTGCACTGGATTCTGCAGGTCCTTAGACTTTCCTAGAAGTACGTATTAATTAGTTAAGCCTAAACCAACTGATGCATTTAAATATCAGGTTTCCCATTCTTTACCTAGTTCTAGTAGTCTTAAAGGTAGAAAAGATGACTCAATAGATTGAAACAGCAACCCTCAGAATGGGAGATTATTTGTAAATCATATTTAATAAGAAATTGGTACCCAGATTATATGAAGAACTACAACATAAAAAAACCTGATTAAAAAATGGGCAAAGGACTTGTACATTTCTCAAAGATAGACAAATGGCCAATAGCACATGAAAAGATGCTCAACATCATGAGTCATGGAAATGCAGATCTAAATCATAGGCTACCACTTTATACCCATCAGCATTGCTATTAACAAAGGGGAAAAGGACATGGTGGAGATGTGGAGAAAATGGAATGCTAGTGCATTACTGGTGGGTATGATATGTAAAATGGTGTAGTAACTGGGAAATGGTATGATTCCTCAAAAAACTAAACATAGTATTACTGGATTATCCAGCATTTCTTTCTCTGGGTTTTTAACCAGGGACTCAGATTCTGTACACCAATGTTCACAGAACCATTATTCACAATAGCCAAAATGTAGAAGCAACCAAATGTCCAAGACAAATGGAATGGATAATCAAATTCTGCTATATACACACCACAGAATAAGTCATTAAAGTAAGTTTTGACACATGCTGTAATGTAGAGAAACTAAGGTATATGCTAAGTAAAATTAGCCAGTCACAAAAGAACAATTGGATGATTCTACTTAAGTGAGTTTCTGGAGCTGTCCAATTCAGACAGCCAAAGTTGAATGGGAGGTTGCCAAGGTGGGGAGAGGGCTACTGTTTATTGGGTACAGTTTCAGTTGATGAAGATTAAAAACTCTAGAGTTGGGTGGCAGTGATGGTTGCATAACAATGTGAATGTACCTAATAGCACTGTATACTTCAAAACAGTTAAAATGGTAACTAATGTGCATTTTGCCACAATTTAAGGGTAAAGTTTGTAAAAAAAATCTATCTGGATAGTTTCCAGCACTTGGTGACAAAGAAAAGAAACGGTGTTCAGGCTCATTATGTCTTGAAACAGTCCTTAGTCTTAGAAACTAGCACATTTTCAAAAATCTCTTGTTTTATTAGCTAACACAAGTTAAAAGTCTATTGCTACTTTAACCTTTCACTTCTCAGGCATCATAAAATCTACTGACTAATGAGATTGTATTGGTGAGCCCCTGCTCTCTCAAACCTGAAGATCACTGGTTTCTTTAACAAAGTAAGTATTAATGTTTGCACATTACAAGCATTTTTCAAGTTGTAGAATAGTTATTAGTATATATTTTCAGTAATCTAACATTAAGCATGCTGTCTCAGGCTTAACACAGCTCTGATAGGAAAACTGATCTATCCCAGATGCTCAGTGAAATTGAGCTTGCTTCTGTACAATTCTAGTTCTAGGTAGCATGAGAGTTGGAGCGCACATCTTGTGGAATGACTTAAGAAGAAACACTAAAGTCTCCTTTACCAGTCACTGAGTATATCTAAGAAAATAAGTGAAGGACCAATACACTGGAAACTACAGGACACTCATGAGAAAAATAAAAGAAGATACTAATAAATGGAAACACATCCATGCTCATAGGAAGAATTAATACTGTCAAAATAGCCATCCTGCCTATTTGAAATCTACAGATTCAATGTAATCCCTATCAAAATACCAACAGAATTCTTCAATGAACTAGAACAAATAGTTCTAAAATTCATATGGAACCACAAAAGACCCCGAATAGCCAAAGCAATCCTGAGAAGGAAGAATAAAGCTGGGGGGATTATGCTCCCCAACTTAAAGCTCTACTACAAAGACACAGTGATCAAGACAATTTGGTACTGGCACAAGAACAGAGCCACAGACCAATGGAACAGACTAAGCCCAGATATAAACCCAAGCATATATGGTCAATTAATATACAATAAAGGAGCCATGGACATACAATGGGGAAATGACAGCCTCTTCAACAACTAGTGTTGGCAAAACGACAGCTACATGTAAGGGAATGAAACTGGATTGTCTATCCCCATATACAAAAGTAAACTCAAAATGGATCAAAGACCTGAATCTAAGTCATGAAACCATAAAACTCTTAGAAGATAACATAGGCAAAACTCTCCTGAATATAAACATGACATCTTTTTTCTGAATGCAGCTCCTCAAGCAAGGGAAACAAAAGCAAAAATGAACACATGGGACTACATCAAACTAAAAAGCTTCTGTATAGCAAAGGACACCATCAACAGAACAAAAAGGCATCCTACAGTATGGGAGAATATGTTTGTAAATGACATATCTGATAAGGGGTTGAAACCCAAAATATATAAAGAGCTCACACACCTCAACATCCAAAAAGCAAATAACCCAATTAAATGGGTGGAGGATATGAACAGTCAGTTCTCCAAAGAAGAAATTCAGATGGCCAACAGGCACATGAAAAGATGCTCCACATCACTAATCATCAGGGAAATGCAAATCAAAACCACAATGAGATAACACCTCACACCACTTAGGATGGCCAGTTTCAAAAAGACTTAAGAACAACAAATGCTGGCAAGGATGTGGAGAAAGGGGAACCCTCCTACACTGCTGGTGGGAATGTAAGTTAGTTCAACCATTGTGGAAAGCAATATGGAGGTTCCTCAAAAAACTAAAAATAGTAATACCATTTGACCCAGGAATTCCACTCCTAGGAATTTACACAAAAAATATAATTTCTCAGATTCAAAAAGACATATGCACCCCTATGTTTACTGCAGCACTATTTACAATAACTAAGATAGGGAAGCAACCTAAGTGTCCATCAGTAGATGAATGGATAAAGAAGATGTGGTACATACACACAATGGAATATTATTCAGCCATAAGAAAGAAAGAAATCCTACCATTTGCAACAAGATGGATGGAGTTGGAGGATATTATGCTCAGTGAAATAAGCCAGGTGGAGAAATAAAAGTACCAAATGATTTCCCTCATTTATGTAGTATAACAACAAAGCAAAACTGAAGGAACAAAACAGCAACAGACTTACAGACTCCCAAGAAGGGACTAGTGGTTACCAAAGGAGAGGGGTGGGGGAGGGTGGGTGGGGAGGGAGGGAGAAGGTATTGAGGGGTATTATGATTGGCACACATGGTGTGGGGGCAGTCATGGGGAAGACAGTGTAGCACAGAAGGCAAAGAGTGACTCTGGCATCTTACTACACTGATGGGCAGTGACTGTAATGGGGTATGGTGGGGACACGAAAACATGGATGAATGTAGTAACCACACTGTTCTTTCATGTGAAACCTTCATAAGAGTGTATATCAATACCTTAATAAAAAATAAGTCAAAAAAAATAAAATCCTCCAGGCCCATCCCACAGCCAATGTATTGAAACATAAACTGTTATGTGTCAGAAATTGTACTCGGTACCGAATATCCGAAAATCAGAGGCAGACACTATAATAACTATAGTAAGACAAATAACAGAAACATAGGTAGGCATGACTAAGGTTTGAGATATTAGATGGAGTCCAGGCCTTAGAGAACAGGGCTTTCAGGAAGGGATTTGAACCAGTTTGTTGAGATCAACTACCACTGTGATATGTCAGATTTTTTTTACCTCTGTTCTTCCTTCACTCCCAAGAGTTAAGTTGGGTTCCCTCTTAACATTTTGTCTCCCTTTCAAGCCCCAAGTAGTACTATTACTCCCCAAGGGGGAGAGGTGCCTCATCAGGGAAAGGCCCAAAACTTCCAAGTTGCTAAATCAATGGTTCAGCATTCTAAATTTTAACAACTGCCAGAGAAATATATTTGTTATGTTATATTACTGGTAGTTCTAACTACATAAGAAATTGTGAGCAGGAAGTCAATTCAAATAATACCTAAACATTACTGCATTTAACATAGAAAACCTGTTTTCCCAATCAAAAGTATGCTCTTTCCTTACTAACCCAAAACATTTGTGGTTACCTAGCAGTGGTTTGCTTCAGTCCCAGTGTGTCTGAAAACCTGCTTTAAATGTGGGCCTATTCCCCAGAAAAGTTTACTAAGCACAGTTTTGAATATAACTTCTGGGCAAAGCAAGGGGGTGGGCAAGTACTTCCTGAAGCCTGTGCCAACTGCACACTGTAAATCCCTACCAACTCTTTTTCAAAATGAAACATGTACACAGACATAATACCATCATTCTCTCCAAGTTGCCAAAGGATTAAAGTTACAGGTAGGACATTCCCAGCAACTTCCCACTGAATTCCCACTGTAGTGTGTAAGCATATCCAATCCCATGCAATGTACTGACTAGTTTGGGACAGTGCACGTGTCTCTGATACAAAGGAAACCGAAGCTTAATAAGAATACTTTATCTGGTTCTTAAACTTCCTAATGCTCCCATCATTCAAGTCAAAAAGTTCTGGTCAAACGTTTTAGAGATGTAAAAGAGAATGCAGTATTACAAACAACAGGTTCAATGACATGAGTTCATTTAAAAGAATGCATAAAATCAATCTTTTAAACAGGCAGACACCAGTTAATCTATAAACTGGCAAAACCAGTTTTCTTAGGTGTAAAAATATATTTCACCATTACTACTTAGAAGAAATATATCCAACATTGGTACAGTCTACTTTCATTAAATACTTATTTGAAATATAAAACTCTTTCGTCACATTAACCTTGTGTAGTCTTTTTATTTTCCAAACTACAAAACAGGTACAAAGATTAGCTTTTCGTGATTCACACAGTATATCCCAAACTGTTGCTTACGAACTAATTCTACAATAAGTCACCCACCACTCAGTATTAAGAGTCATAGAGAGGTTCTCTGAGTCTTTTAATTACAACTCATAGAGAAGAAATGTTTATAGACTTATAAAAATCTACAAATCTATAAACTGAAAATCTGTATCATTTAAAATGAAAAAATATATATAATTAATATGTAAGCAAAATAATGGTACTGAATTTTGATATTTAAATATCCTCAAAGCTGTTGAGTTGTGAATACTGTCAAACCTTTCCTTGTGTTTATGCTTCTGGTTGAGAATGGAAGAAGGAACCAATACTTAAAGGGGCTGAAAAATTCTTCCACATGGTTTCTTCTGACCACCTGCAGAGGGTAAGGTCTTTTTCTCTACAGTCCAAAGACAAGATAAATAGTCTCTGATTTAAAATCAGAATCGATCTGTTGCTCTGCTAGCCACGGCTCGAATATTGCCATAAACCTTCGATGGGGGATTTCCTGCAGAGGAAAATGAAAAAAAATTACCTATACAAATATATTCACACATATAATACAAGCCACATGGGAAATGACCTACAGCTCTTAGGAAGAACAGGGACATTTGCCATTAGACCTACCTTAAATCAACAAAGAACCAGAAAGGGAACCACACCCAAATATTCTCCAAAAATATTTAAATCCTAAGCCAAATGCACCAAGCTGTCAAAATATTTTGAAAAGAAACTGAAGTGTCAGACCTGGTCACCATGGAAGAACCTAAAATGTTTTCTGAGCAAGATGCTACCATCCAGTAACCAGAAGTTACTGACTTTGATGCCATGTTTGAACAGGGGACTAAGTGGATCAATTAAATTGATGTTGAGCAGCAGCTCCTTTTTGTTGAACCTGAAACAATGTTGCCTTCTATTCTGGAATGGCTTTTCTGTGTACCTCTCATCAGGGGAAAGCAGCAAAGATTTAAATAATATAACCCAAAAAACCCTCTCTCTGCTGTAGCAGATGGATGAAGCACAAGCAAAAATATTTCTACTTTTTTCTCTGGGCCCACATTTGCCAACCCCCAAGAATTTCTTCTTGCTGTCTTAATATTAATTATCCTTATCCTAAACTGATCTGCAAATGTGGTTTGAGTTCTTCCCTATTCTTTTCTTTCCAGAAAAAACACCAAAGGAATCAACTATTACCTAGGATGAGGTTGCAAATGGCAGTTCTTGCCATCTTAATGTTTTGGAAAGATCCAAGGATGTGAACTTTCCTGCAAGATAGAAAGTGAAACATGTTAGCACCAAAAATCATTTCTTTAACTTAAAGTCCTATAATCCTGGAAAATCATGACAGATACAGAGTCCTAAATAAAGGTGGTGGTGATGGTTGCACAATTCTGTTATACTAAAAACCACTTTAAAAGGGGGAATTTTATGGCATGTGAATTACATCCCAATAAAAAATTATCAGAAAAGACAAAAATTAACAAAACCAAGAAGTTCTTTAAGAGTCTTGCTTAATGATGGCTACCACCCAGTGGGTGCTCTCTGTGTGGTAGGGCTTTATATGTATGTTCTCATTTAATTCTCTCATGCACTTCAATGTTATTCCCATTTTACAGATGAGGAAAGAGTGTTACAAGAAATAAGAAAACCTGTCCACAGGCAGAGCTGGGATTATTAAGCACCCAGAAATGCAAGTAATACTGTACTTATTTAAAACATACTAGGATTTCAACTGCAAAGCTTTCTAAAGATTACCTACTTTTCTTCAGACCTCAGTGACAATCATCCAGACCCTTTTAATGGGAATTGCTGGCTGAGTGACTCTAGTCTTAAAGACTGACAATATAGCATTTTGCTTTTTAAGCCCATCTTCCAAAGTGTCAGTACACTGACACCAAAATTAGCAGTGGGAACATCAAGCAGAGGGCTTTCTACCCACAGGCCCAGGCATTTCTGAAACTGGGGTGAAAGTGATGCTAAAAACAAGAGAAATCAGTTAAAGTCTGTTCAAGATGAGCCCAGATTTTCTTCACTCTGCGCAACCATGCAACCACCCCTCTATAACTGTGGCAAAATTATGGGCAGGGGGAGGTTGCTCAGATGTAAAATGCATCTCAGTACACCAAGAGGAGACACGGACAACAAATTGCTTGTTACTGAATTAGGATACTGAAAATTAGGAAAGCAAATTAGAAGGCAAAGGACACGGGGCCAGGGCCAGGCACAGCTGAAGTAGGAGTACCATGTTAAAGGCAGGCAACGTAGACGTACACTGAAAGATGGGGCCTCCTGCTGTCTTCTGTTACCAAAAGTCATGCTGCAAAAAGACTGGAGAATACTCCTCTGGGGAACCTAAGCTGCTCAAAGAGAAAGACTACACATACTGACATCAGGGTTCGCCAAAGAAATAGCCTGGCAGTCACCCTAAGTGAAGCCTACAGTCAACCAGCCACCCCCACCCATGCAGCCCTGAGGTTGAGGTTTCTCTTCTGCTCTTGACGTCCCTGCTCTTATGTATGGCACAAGCACTGAGATTCAACAGCATCTGAGGAAAGTGTCTAATACCAAAGAATAGAAGCTATAACCAGCAAGATGAAGAGAGCATTACAGAAATGGCAGGAGAGAAGAAAGGCAGCAAAAATACAACTGCTAAACCAATTAGAAAAGCTAATTCATGCATCTATGAATCAAATACAGGATGTTAAGAAAACGAAATAGAAGGATTAGAAGATACAGTTACAGAAAGGAGTTCCAGATAGGATGGGGAAAAAGGAGAATCAGAGAAGTAATTCAACGCTTCTAAACTGCAGAAAATGCCTACCTTCTTTGAACAGGCCCAGTGAGATGAAGAGAAATGGATTCACACCAACACACACCACTATGCAATTTCAGAACACAGGAGACAAAGAAGATAGTACAACTGCAGACAGGAACCAGAAGAATCAGGAAATCAAAATGGCTTTGACTTCTCAACAGCAACACTAGCAGGAAACATAGAGGTGCCTTCCAAATTTTGAATGCAAACAACTTGTAACAGAATTGCATATCCAACCAGGAAAGAAGACATCTTCAGAACCAGGTGGTCTCAAAACACGCACTTTCTATGCTAAGCTAGCTCCTGGACAACATACACCTCTAAGTCAAGGGCTACTCAGAAAGGTGGGTGAAATGCATGAAGAGGGTCAAAAGGCACAAACTCCCAGTTGTCCAGTTGTAAAATAAATACATTCCGAGGATGTAATGTACAGCATGGTGACTGACTAGTTTACAATACTGTATTGCACATTAGAAAGTTAAGAGGGATCTTAAAAATGCTCATCACAAGAAAAACACATCTGTAACAGTGTGTAGTGACAGATGTTATCTAGACTTACTGTGGGGATCATTTCACAATATATACAAATACTGAATCCAAAAAGACAAACCAAACAAAAAACCAAGAGGTACTCAGGAAAAAAAAAATGGAGAATCAAGGAATTCAGACAAGAAAGGGCCAACAGGAAGGACAGAACCAGCATGACAGCTGCGCACCAGGCAGGGAAGGCAGCAGTACTTCTGGAACTGGAGGCCTTGGGGCATTTCATAGTGTCGGATGCATCTCAGTACACCAAGAGGAGACGTGGACAACAAAATGCTTGTTACTGAATTAGGATACTGAAAATTTGAAAAGCACAGACACTTAAGAATTATTTCTTCAAGTGAAAATAAAGTTGCAAAGGACAGTGCATCAACTGGCTTAGCTGTTAATGTACTGAGCCTTGAATCTGTACTGAGGCAACAGTGAATACTGGTCTAAGAAAAACACATGTACAGGGAGGAGAAAGAGGAGTAAGTAAATTAGATTGCTAGAAAGACCGAGTGTGTGGAGTGAAGGTAGGAAGAGGGGTGAAAGAGAGCTCAATTTTCAGCTTTCTGGGAGATGACAACAGTGAAACTAAAAAAAAATCAGGAAGCTGATTTTAAATAAGATACTTGGAAATACGGAGCTAAGTAATTTTTAAAAATTAAAGGAGCTGGAATTGGTTCTTCTGAGGACAGGGAAACAGAGGAAGACAGCAAAAATTTTTGGCTTTTTAAAATTCAGATGTCCAACTTTGCTAAAAAATTTAAAATTGAGCATGAAAGATGAGGAAATAGACAGCAAGAATACACAGAGCAGGTATAGTTCTGCTACTGAAACAAGCAAAGCAATGGGGAAGGCAGTAGCTGGAAGGGAATGTGGGTCTCAGGAGGGCAGGCCACATTATTTCCCATCTCTTACACTGACTGTCTCTGTAACAAATAGTTTTTAGTTTATCTTGCTCACATTATACTGTGTTTTGCCAGATTAGCAACGCATCAAAAATAACACAGGTGCATCATAGTCCATCTTATCGCTCTATCATAATATAAATTGAAGATGTGAATTTCCAATTAGCATATTTATAGCAAAACTACCAAGACAGTACATTTCTTTAATTTTGAGTACCATGTAATTCAGTTTTAAGAAAAATATAAAAGATACAAAAAGCAATTCAAAAGCAATAGTATTCATAATAGCCCAAACTGCAGCTAACCCAAATGTCCATCAAATGTGAATGGATAAACAAAATGGAATATAATGACCTAGTATTCATCCATAAAAAGGAATTACTGATACAACCAACAAAATGGAGAAACTCAAACATGCTATAAGAGAGACCAAACACCAAAGACTACATACTGTGTATTTCCATTTATATCAGTTCCTAGAAAATGCAAAACCATAGTGGCAAAAAGTAGATCAGTGACTGCAGGCTGTGGAGATGCCCAAGGAGCTCTGAGGTGATGGAACTGGGTGAGAGGCGGGTATGACAGGACAACAGAGCACTGCCCAAAGCTCACTCAACTGCATACTTAAAACAGGTCAGTTTCATTGTATCTAGAGCATACTGCAATAAAGTTGTTTTAAAAAAAATTAGTTCACCTAGTAAATTTTAAACACTTAAAGATATACTTATCAATTATAAATACATATACTTATCAATACAAGCTACCCTTAATTTGATTAGCAAATCATTTTTAGATTTCTAAGTTATCAAAAGTTTTTAAGGCTCTATTTGATATTTTAAAATGTGGCATACATTCCAAAATTTTTGAAATTTCCAGTTCAAAAAGGCTCTTCCCATGAATCCATATTCCCAACTCCAGGCTCAATCCATAAAAGATCAAAATTATAATACACATGTCTTCAAGAGGCCGACTAACAGGGTATTAAGGTTATCCTTAAAGTATAAAATAGAGCCTAAAATTTAGATTCTAAGTAAAGTGAGTCCCTCAGTTTAGAACAAAGATAGTATGATCTCAAAATTATCTCTGGGTTTAGTAGCAGGCAGAACAGCTCCTCTTCTCAGTCAACTGTTTAATTTTCCAACTTCGTGGCATTATATAATCTTTGAGCCATCTGCCAGTAATCCTGACCTGGCAACAGAGCCTTCAACTTCAGACAGGGCTAATCCCAGCTTGACTTCCTGTACCCTTATTTTAAGCCTGTATCATCTTATTTATGTTTGCATATAATTGTTCTCTAGTTTTTCATCCAGTGTGCAATACTCACCTTCCTTTTATGAAAGGCCTTTATATATGTGTGTGTGTATGTCTGTGTATTTTTATTTTTTAGGAAAGCCTCACGATGGCATTTAAACACCTACTCCTTGCTTTCCCCTACTGATTTAAGATTCCCCAGAGATACTATTTAAATCTTTACCTGTTATGTAATTTCTTTTAATAGTGACTCTGAACATTTACAACTGAGAAGAAAGCTACAGTTTCTAAGATTTTCTCAACCTAATCTGTTTTCAAAGTAACTTTCCTGCAAGCCATATACTGACAAACATTTTGTGACAATTTATGGATGAAATACAGTCTTTGTGACTTTCTGAAACCAGCAAAATACCAAATATAAATTATGACAATAACTTTCTCAAGATCAGATACTCACACATCAGCCAAAACTATTCGTGTCCGTGTCACATTCTCTATGGTAAATTTGGTTTTTCCTCCTTTGCCAGCTATTCTTCCTATTGCCCTCGACAGGTGGTCTCCCTTTAGGGGCTTAACTAAATGAGAAAAGCACGAGGTCAGGAGGCAAGCCAATGCACCAGCCACTTGCATGTAAAGCTTAACTGCTAACTAAATTTCCCTACTAAAAGACCTGAAATACACAGTTTTTAAAAACTTGTTACGAATACAGCTCAGCTAACGCTATTAGTAAGCTGAGAGTTACACACCGTACAAGGTCAGCAAAACAAAGTACAGTATTTCATAGAAGACTACATATACTCACCATCTGTAATTTCAAAAGACTCCAGGAAGAGGTCATCCAACCTAATGAGAGCAAGGGCATCCTACAATATAAAAAGGAATACTGTGGAGACCATCTGTTTAGATCCCTGAGAGAGTGTTAAGCTAAAAGTCAAACTGTAGAACTGAAAAAACTAAAAAAATTTTTTTAAATGCCCAAATTCATCAACACATTCATACTATTTTTTAAGCCCCCATTTCAGATGTCATGACATCACTCACCTCCACCTGAAACCCAAGAATAAAGGCTTTCACAAAATCAGCGGCTTTTGTCAGGGCACTGACATCCTTGGTTTCTTTACAAGTCTGTTGAAAAAAAAAAAAAAAACAGCACAAATTAAAGTTGGGGATGAAAAAAGAATATTCTAACAAAATACTAGGACTGACCTTTCTGATGATTATAATTTCCTTCACTCACCACATTTCCCCAGTAAAGTCTCTATAACTCAGTTTTTGGTGTGGTAAGTACTGTGTTTAATTTGCAAAACAAAATGTTCCCAGTTCCAGATTTGGGCGGATCCACCCTGTCAAATGAAGGACTTCACTCCATAGCTGCTCTCTCTGTGGCAAACAGGATTCCCCTGGCACAGCCCAATCGCTCACTCTGAAGGACCTCCACTCCTGGTCCATCCCATCAATGCCTAAGCGGGTCCTCTCTTCTTCTCCCTCACTGCAGTCTCCCTGGGAGGCCTGATCTAATTTGCCGACTTCAATCGTCCTTTATATGATGGTGCTTCCCAAGGCAATAACTTCAGTACTAAGAATGGATTAAGACCATGCTCTCAGCTTACTCAACTGTGGAAATAACTACCATTTATAAAACGCCTGCCACTGAAAGTGACATACACTGCAAAGGGGCTTTACACACGAAAGCTCTTACCTTCATGTCAACCCTGAACGTTAAGAGATATAGATACTTTTATGATTGAGGAAACTGAAGTACTAAAATATGAAAAGGGTATGACTCCAACACACTTCTGACTCCAAAACTGTTATTTCCATTCTCCCATACGGTTTCACAATCTAGTTGAGGAAACCACAAAACTACACACAGCTGTATAAAGGCACATTTAAAACTAGATCTAGTTCCAATCCCATTTGTGACCTTGGGCAATTCTCACAGATACCCTAGGCCTTAAGTTTTCTCATCTGTAAAATAAGGTCAGAGTTGGAGGTCCTGAAATGTCCCTACTAGCATGGAATTCACTTATTAGCTTGATGATGTTGGCCTTCAGTTCCCTCACATCTGTAAGATAGGGATACCTCATTGGATTGTCCTACAGACCAAGAAGATGTAGTGCATGCCAAAGCACCATTATGTATGTGTCCAGCATACAGCAGTATCAACGTATGTTAGTGGAATCCAAATTGGTAATGCTGCAATACCGCTCAAAATGCTGATAAGACTGCCCAACAAAATAAAAGTTTAAGTACTTAAGAAAAGACTGAAAAGTGGAAAAATCATAAAGGGGAAAGAACTTGAGCCGGACCCTGAAAGATGACTGGAATTGAGGTAGAAAGCGAAAGAGAGTAGGGAAGGGAGGGTCTTCAAGAGAGAGAAAAGCCATCAATAGGTTTGAATATAAAAGCCTTCAAAGAGATGGTGAGATGAACCCGGGACTGAGACTCCTACTTGAAATCAGGCTAAGTACGGTCAAGAACTTTCACCCTTCAGAGACACTGAAGAAACCAGGATGTCATAAAAAAAGCAGTGTGGTCTAGAAATTAATCTGGATGGAGTAGTGAAATGAGATTTAAAGCAATAAAGAGAAACCTATAAGGAAACAAGAAGTTTTGGCATGAAACCATAAAAACCTGAATCAACGTGGTGACGGGAGCAAAGCAGGATTCTGTCAAATTTTATATGTTAAAATTTACCGACTATTTACATTAGTGCTTTTATTCCAATATTCTAGCACATCAACAGAGGTGAGTCTATACCAGTTATGGTAATAGTGTAAGATTCTTCAAAAAGGAAGATATAATTAACTTTGGCCATTGATTCTAATATGAAACTGGCACCCAGAAAAAGAAGCCCAAAGTCAATTAATCTTAATTGTCTAACTCTTGGACTGACACCCTGGGATAAATGGACATACACCCTGGGATGAATGGACATACCATACACAATCTATATTTTTTCTCAAAATAATACTTTGTTTTTTCAAAAAAACACCATTGAAATATATAGTGCAACAAGTTCTTCTGTTGCTTAGTTACTTCTGTTTATAACCTCTTTATTCAGCCTTTTCTCATTTCAACATAGAACATTGTAAAATATACGCACAGGCAGAGCCAATACTTTAGTATGATCTCAGGCCTAATTTATGAATTCAACTAACATTCGTGAATTTATGAATTCAACTAATAAATATAATCAGATTTTGAAGGAATTCGAGAGGTTCAAACTCCATCTGAAAATAAGTCCCATTAAGCAGTCTATTCATGCCTTTTCATCCCTGTAGGAGAAACTTTAGTGTATTTGGAAAGGGTTGACATTCTCCTTACCCTGATTTCTACATTCCTCGATTTCAAGTTAAAGCGTATCTGAAGTCTCAAATGTTCTACAACAGGAGTAAATATCTTCATCCAGTTCTCTTTTAATGGCGTGTATCTGTTAGCTGGGACTGGAATTTTCCTTGTTTCTCCTTTCCCACCCTACAATAAAAGCACACACAACTCAGGAGACGTTCGAGGGATGGCGGCGCTGTTAAATGACAGCTGGTCCACGAAAAGCCTCGTTTACTGAACGAATTAACCTTCGTTCACGAGAATCACTTTTCTACAACGTTCACTAAATAAGAACCCCCGCAGCTTCAACATCACCCAAAGGCCACCGGCTAGATCTGACTCTGGTCCCTGCCCTGCTCTTGTCCCGTGGTCTCCTCCATTACCAGGAATCCGTCTCCGGAGAGGGGCGGGAAAACGGGCCTCTTCGCGGGCGGGACCCCCTCCGTGTCCATGCTGTCCGCGTCAGCGCCCTCCCCCGCCGCGGACAGCTGCTCAGCCTGCCGCTTCTTCGACCGCCGGCCACCCTTGCCGGTGACTTGGGTGAAGTCATCCTCGGTCCCCGCGCTCTGCGACTCCATGTCTGTTTCCATCCCTAGGAAACTCGAGCTCCAGCGGGCATTTCGGGCTCGAACACGTGCGCTGCGGCAGTGCGCAGGCGCACCTCGCAGGACCCAACGTCCGCCAACCCACCTCAGGGCTCCGCCCCCTTTTCTGAGAAGTCCCAAGCGGTGGACCTGAAGCAAGATACTGTGTTTTTTGAAGAGGAAGGTGGGCTGTCCTAAAATATGCCTGTCCTTGTGGTCTGCCTCTCTTCCGCCACTCACAGCCTTTTGCACTCTCTACTATGTGCATATGCGAAAAGCATAGGTAAAAGTGATTAACAAATTCGCGCTGTAGGTGAAGAAAAATCTTGGTGACTTCAGTACCGCATCTGGCATGTTCTGGACAACTCAATACAACTCGCTAGGGCGTCAGGGGGAGAACGGCAAGCAGGAGGGACTAACTGTCGTTACTGTTTGGAGTTTGGTTTCCCGGTTAGTGTTTTGTCAATATTTGGGTGTGCCTGTTGCTGGAGGCGAAATCCGCTGGACCATGTCGGCCTTCGAGAAGCCTCAGATCATCGCTCATATCCAGAAGGGCCTCAACTACACGGTGTTTGACTGCAAGTGGGTACCCTGCAGCGCCAAATTTGTGACCATGGGCAACTTCGCACGGGGCACTGGCGTCATTCAGCTGTACGAGATCCAGCACGGTGACCTAAAGCTGCTTCGGGAGGTGGGTGCCGGGTCGAAACTGCCCAGTTCCAGGATATGGGACTGTCGTTGGGGGGCGAGTGCTGATTCCGGTGGGGAATGGGGGTGGGAGGGCTCTGCATTTCTATTTGCTAAAGTTTTCGTTCAGCATACCCTCAAAACACAGTTAAAGCTGCGGAGGACAAACGAAGCTGATCGCAGACTGAAGAATACTTCGACGTAAAACGCTATTTTGTCCGAGTCCTGAATTCTCTGCGAACTAATTCATCCGCGCCCCGCCGGCCCCTTCCTGCAGCCAGTCCAGCGCGAGGTCCTTGGGAAGTGACGTTAAGACTTCGTGTCTAAACTCGAAGCCCTTATGGGCAGTGCGCAGTTGTTTGTGGAGAATCTTTTAAAGGCCCGTGTTAATAAAATGCTTTTCATACAAGCAGAGCCAAAGCGGCCACCAGGATACTTGCGGTGTGATTGGTGGAGACAACCTAACACATTTATTCCTTCAGCAAGTATCGACTGATTACCTGGTATTCCCAGGCATGTGAATCACGATCTCCCCGATTTCGTGGAGTTTATTTTTCTAGTAGGAGAGGGAATCAGCGAAATAATCAAATCCAGAATGTATAAATACAAACCGAGGCGAATTATCTAACATAAAGGAACACGGTTCTGTGAGAGTAAAAACAGATTTAGGATGAGTAGAAAAGCTCACTAGGCCAAACCAGTAGAGGAGGTTTCCAGAGGAAACAGCATGCTCATCAGTGGGAGTTTATCCGCCTTCAGATACAGGTAATAAGTAGGGACCAGAGGTCGCAAGATCTGTACGTCATTTAAAAGATTTATACCTTTTTTCCAAGAAAAACAGGACATTATTGGAGGACTTTACACAGGGAGTGACAAGATCCGGTTTACAAGTTTTGTAAAGTTTGCTAGTGAAAGAATTAGAGAATAATGATGTTAACATTTTTATGCCTGTTTACGGTTTTAAAAATACCCTGATGGGTCAAGTCATACTGACGTGTTTAGGGTTGTGATAGACTACAGGGAAGGTCGAGAACTCCAGGGATCAAACGCCACCGAGACAATCTGCTTGAAGGAGATTGGGGTTAAACTGGTAGATAATGAATCAATACATTTTGGATACGCAAGCTTAGATCAGAAGGTATGTAAAGCCCCATCGCACTTTAAATTTCTATGAGTGCCAGTTTCCTGTTCAGTTTGTATTTTTTAACCAGGCACCTCCGCAGAGTTCCTAAACATGACTTGTTTTTTTCCACCTTTCTTTAGATTGTTCAGCACTTAGCTCCCGGTCACCTGGTGCTCTTTGAAGGTTCAGTTCAGATTGACTTAGGAAGTTCCCTCCTGACCCCCACACAAAGTAACTGCCCTTTACATTGCATTCCTAGGGTACTTACCTGTGCCACACGTGGATCATTCTGTCCCATTTATCTGTAATTAGATTGTAAGCTCTTGGAGAGCAAGGACAGTGTCTTTAGTGGTTTGTGAGGAGTAGCCATTCAATAAATTACGTGTTAAAAGAATGAGTGAATGTATATCTGTAAAAAGCTATAACTTGGGAACTTTAAATATTGTTTTAGTCATCCTTAATTGGGGGCAAGGTTTGAACAAATGGGAAAAATTGGAATAGTATACAGGAACTGAAAGGAGAAGTATTAGGAATAAAACAATCAGACCCCAGAGAGCATCTACAGACTTGTGACTTAAATAATTTGTGTACACTTCAAAAATAACACTTATTTTGTAAAGTGAAGTAGTTCTATTTGTTAATTTTACTTTTTAAACAATATGTGTTCATGATAAAACACTTAAAATGCAGATAGGAAAAAGAAGAAAATTAGTATCACTCATAATCTTAATCCTAGGTATAACTACTTTTCCTATTTTTACCTTTGGGTCTTCTTTATATCATAAACTGTCTATTGAGAATCTACTATTTCAAGGTACGATGCTAAGGATCAAAGGTATTTGAAAGATGACTCCCTTCCAAAGAGTCTACTGTCTGAAGAGGATGAAACAAATGCAAAAGCATATTTAAGAACTTATATTGCATCTGGTTGTGACAAATAGAAGATATCTGGGGCAAGGCCACATTCGCATCATTCTAGAAAGAAAGGTAGATACTGTAATTAAGTTTATTGGTAAGTGCAAGAAAGAAGCTAAACAGGTAGCAATGTGGGGTTCACTTCAGATTGGAGGTGCAATGGAAAAGAGCACAGGTTAAATGTAGTCTCAGTGATTCTCAGCCCTCACTGCCTCAATCTGTTGTGTGTTGTGTTGCTGCTGTTTTTCTGTGTGTGTGTTTTAAAATACTCATGTCTTGGTCCCACCTCTAGAAGTTCTGATGCCGTCAGACTCTTGCATCTAAACTAGAGTGAGTCCTGAACATCAGTATTGTTTAAACCTCAACCAGATGATTCTAATGACTACCAGGGTTCACTGCCTGGTAGATGAACTGTTTACTAAAATATTAGAAAACACACTTGATTTTATCATTGTGGAAACACCTCATGCCATGTACTCCAAAGCCCATGCATCCAAGTTAAAAAAATGGGTGAAGGAAGCAAGTGGGTCTTTGTTGACACCATCCTTACCTTCTTACTGAGGATGGATAGGGAATGAGGACAGGGCCTCCAGGTACAGTTGAGCAGTTTGCTGCACCAAAACAGGTGTGACCAAAGGTGCACATGGAAGCTGAAATCCATGTCTTTTCTCATCAAGCCTTAGAAGTGTGAGACTTCATTAGCCTATAAAGGGCAACTTTTTCTAATTGGCACAGAGGACTAGGGGTGGCCCTTAGAAATGGAGTCATAGTTGTGAATGTTTAAACTACTAATAAGCTAATAAAGTTCCGCTTTTTCAGCCCTATGCCACTGAATTCACCGCTTGTTAGCATTTGGTTGACTAAACCTTTTGATGTTAATTAAGTAGTGCCAGGATGTGGAGGAGGAAATACTGACAAGATGTACTAGACCCACCCACAGACAGAACAAAAATAGCTCATGGGAATTATTGATCATGGGCTTCTGTAATCACATTCACTTACTGTATCAAAGAACCAACAGGCTAAATATGACCATTATTGATGGTCATTTCTGTACCATGTAAAAGAAGTTACCATACTGATTTTCTTTGTGAAACAAATTTCCCAAAATCTTCATTTTTTTTAAACCAATCAGTTTTCTAGCAAGAAAAAATTTAAGTAACCACTGCATTTTTTTCCATCTTTTATGTTCCAAAGGTAAAATATTTAACTGGGGCTGGGAGGGAGCCTTATTATGAACTATAAAAAAATTACCTTCATTCCAGTGTGCCTCTTCATTTAGCTACTATTGTAATTGCTGTGAATCTGAGGAAAGGGAAAACAAGCCTGCTTCTCTTAAGTCCATTCGCTAGCATAGCTCAGCCCTTCTCAGCAAAGCACAATCTTCACCACTGTGCAGATATTTAAATATGCTTTTATATTTTAGTTTGACTCTTGTACAAGACCACTAGTGTCTATAAATTTGTTTGTTTCTTTGATATAAGGAGAAAGTGAACATGAAGCATAAATATATATGTTATAGCTTGTAAAGATAGGAATGAAGGTAAAAACCCAAGGACAGAAATCTAAAAGCAGGTTTGCTTCAGGCCTATACCATTTACCTCACCATTTTAGGATTGGAACATTTCTTTGGTACTTATAATGACTTGCAGGTTTACAGAATAGGGGCTACATAATAAAATGTTTATTTAATTGATTTACATGTAGTCCTGGAAGCAGCCTAGTTTAGTAGAAAGAGCTTGGAGTCAACCTGGCACAGAGACCTTGAGCAAGTCTTAGTCCTCTGAACCTGTTTCCTCATCTGGAAAGGGGTGCCCATGTACTTAACTGGTAGTTATGTGTGTTAGAAAGAGAAGGGGTGGTCTAGTTTAGAAGAACATCTGAAATAGTATCTGATACGTGTGTTCAACATATGGATACTGGTCTCATTATTGCATATAAATGACACCAGAAACTGGTGTGTCACGTGAAAACATGGGAGCAATGGGAGTGTGCACTCCATCGGGGGCTTCTCTCTCCCTGGCACTAGGTCAGACAGATTAATAGATATTTATATTTCCATTCAACAAGTGTTGGGCACTTACCAGGTATTGAACAAATTGGACAAGGTCCCATTTGCATCATTCTAGAAATGATCTATCTAGAGGGAGATAGACACTGTAATTGAATGAATAAAATAAGTTTATTGCTAAGTTCAAGAAAGCAGATAAAACAGTTAGTGATTTGGGGGTTCCACTTCAGATTGGAGGAGCAGGGAAAGCCTCTTAAAGAAGGTGACATTTAAATGGAAATATGAATTGGGAGAAAAAAGAAGATATGATGATCTGATGGAAGAGCAGTCTAGGTAGTGGGGACAGTAGATGCAAATGCCCTGAGGTAGAAATGACTTCGGTGTGTCTGAAGGGAAAAAGAAAGCTGCAGGCATGGCTGGAGTGTAGTAGAGAAAAGGAAGGTGCTGGAAATGAGGTCAGAGAGACAGGCAACGCTGGATTTCCAAGGGCTTTGTATCACATTTAGTATACCTTAGGCCCTGTGCCACTTTTGTGAGTCTATGCCTTCTATGTACATACATTTTATTTCATTCCATTATTTGTAATAAAGACCCACTTTTAGCATTTGTGCAATGACAGATGTGAAAATACCTAGTATAGGGTCTTTCATGATGGAGTGTGCTCAGTTTGGTTTCCTTCTAAGGTGGGGATTCTTAGATGTGTTCAGGTGTCAGAACGTCTGGAAATGGTTGTGCTGTTTCTGAAGCACCATGAAATAATTGGAATAGTCCGTTCCATCTCTGCACAAGGAAGGGTTTTTCTGGTAGAAAAATGACTGTATTCTGATCTTTACATCACAAGAAGTAACCATGCATAAATTTTTTTATCCTCATTTCTAGGTTTTCTTATTGGTGTTCATTTGCTAGTATCTTCTAGCAGACAAGTTTAAAAAACTTGAAAAAAACTTAAACTTGAGAAAAGCATCCATTAGCTCTTTTGTTTGTTTGGGAGAATTTATGTGGTTACCAGAAGATCAGTGTGTTCTGGGAGCACAGTCTAGTATTCTCTGTTCGAAAGGGTCTAAAGGTGAAAGTTAGGTAAAGAAATAACACAGGGAGGGAAGTTTTTGCTTCCCAGCTTTTTATTACCAGCAACAATAAAATCTTAACTGTGCACTTACTGTAGGGACTGAGCAGTAGAGGTTAGCTTTTACCTCTTCTGTGGCCTGGAAAGAAGAGAAGCCCCATCCGTGGCTCCAGGTGATAGCAGTGAGATTACACGAAGCAGAATGCTACAGCTGGTGGAAGAGAAGGAAGTGGATGACCTGTCTTCCCATGTCTTCTCTGAGAATTTTCCCAGAGAGTTATATCAATATATGATGCAAACTCCCCACAGGTCCTAATCCCCTGAGTCCCTAGAACCACGTTCCTGCCCATCATGGCCCACCTGCTGCTGACCTCAGAGGCTTGCCTTCACCCTCTGCCTCAGCCTGTGGGGGCCATTAGCAGTGACTTAGAGCTTGGGTCCAATGGGAGACAAATGGGAGGAAGGAGTGGGTAGCTCTTCCATCAGCTGGCCTAAGTTGAAACTGAATTCCTTTAACCATAGAAATTGTGTTAGTAGTGATTAGGTGCTATACCACTGTCTGTATTAATTTCAGGCACTTTTATCTGGGGGATGGTGGGGAGAACAGAAGTGATTTGGAGTTGGGAACTGCATTGTTAAGTTGAGAAAATCTTGATTCCCTATGTTGCCACGTTGTAAGATACTCTTATAAAACTTGGAAAAATAACTGAAATAACTGAATATCGATTTTCTGATACTGTAGGTAACTGATGCTATCTCGAACCACCTATGCATTTAAAGGAAAAATAATTATTCTTTGGTTCTGTGTTTTTCATCAGTACAGCCTTTTGTAACCATGTTATTGTGGATGACCGACTTTGTTTACAAGGGGGCTTTATTTTAGACCTGGCTACATAGTAACTTCTAATTTGTCCAGACCAAAACAGTGAGAAAGCTCAACAAAGCTGCTAGTTTCCAAAGCCCTATACCATATAGTGGTGTCTTTTCAACTATGAAGGAAAAGTTCAGTTATAGTTTAAGTGAATTTTATTTTCTTCTTCTTTAAAAATTGCTGTGTGATATATCCTCTGTGGAAGTGCTCGGCCACACGCTGAAGTAGCAGGGAAATTATTTGTCAAATTATATGAAACAAGCCAACCTAGTGGGAAGGATGAAGATTCGCCCAGGAACTGAAAGGTTACAAGGGGAGATACCCTAGAAACTGGAGAAGTCTGTGGAGGGAAAAGTTTATTCTGATATATTGTTAAGTGAAGAAAATTAAGCGAAAGGGAAGTATATTATGATCCTCCCTATATTAAAACAAACCTACATGTGTTTGTAAATGTGTAGAAAAGGTCGAGAAGAACAGGGATCAGTTCTAGGGAGCAGCAATGGGAGACTTTGGTTGTTTGACTTTTTTATAGGAAACGTGTGTTGCTTTTGTAAACATTCAGAATAAAAACATTTAAAGATTGTAAGCAGCTGAATAGGAGGAGCAGTTTTGCCCCATGTAGGCTGACAGTAAATGGAAGGTGATACAGGGCCACAGTGTGGCATGGGGCAGGCAGTGAGTAGTGGCCTCTTTTAATTCCAGATTGTCCAGAGTTCCTAAGGACCAACCAAGGCAGCAGGAAAAGCAGGCGCCAGTGACCTGTGCATGTGGAGTTAGGTGGGTGGGGGCATCAGAGAAATGGGAAGCATCCGGAAGTAAAAGAAGGTCAGTGGAAGACCCATAAAAGTATGGTGGTAGGTGACAACAGCATAGTGCATGTGTGTAAGTAGAGGAGTCAGGTAGGAACTGGGTTGTAAACTCCTCGAAGGACGGCCGGTCTCATTCATTTTCATATCCTCTTCTGCCTACTTCATTGACCTGCTTTTAGTGGGAACTCATTAAATGTTGAACACCTGAGTTGGGCAAATCTGTAAAGCTGGAGGCCTGAGCTCTTCGTCTGTGACAAGAGGGTGTTAGATTGTTTCCAGGGACCCTTTTGGTGATAGGTTCTTCACGTGATGTCCATAAGCCACATCCTTTAAATAGTGCGTCAGTATATGGTGACTTTATAACATGATTATATGTAGTACTTGGAGCAGTAGCCGTTTAAAGAAACCTCAGAAGACTGGCTAATCCATACTAATAGCAGAGCCTTTGGTACACACAGGTATACACAGATCTATATGGTCTCAGAGTGAGCAGGACATAAACATTCTCAATTTATAGGGTTCTTCAGGGAAAGCTACAAGAGACACATAAACAAGTTTTGTTCCTGTAGCCAACTGGAGAGAATAATATCTTCACTATGTTCTCATTTCTACCGAGGATCTTAAAGAAGAATACCTTATTACATGCTGAAATTTTCATATTTGCAAACCAATGGAGATGATAGACTTGTCAGCATTTGATTGTCTCATTAGAAGAAAGGCAAAATTAAATCTCATTCTTTTTGATGATCATGTACTTTTAAACCTGGAAAAATGACTAAAGGAAAAGCATGATTATCTTTTTCAGAAAACATTTTAATTGCTTTTTATATTGTGTGCTTTATTTAAATTCTGTAATAGAGCTATACATATTGTGGATTATAAATATCTGCTTACATAAATAGTGTATCCTCTCTCCCTCTCTTTTATCAAGATTGAAAAGGCCAAACCCATTAAATGTGGAACATTTGGTGCAGCCTCTTTACAGCAGAGATATTTAGCTACTGGAGATTTTGCTGGAAACCTTCATATATGGTAAGATTATTTAATCAGTATTAAGATGTGAGACAAGCAATTTCTTTCTTCTTACTCTTTCTCTGAAAGAGTTCTAATTTTTAAATGTTTCCTTGTTCGGTTTTAATTATTTAAAAATGCAAAAACTATCTTTTATTATACATTTCTAGATTCACAATTCAAAATCCACTTTAAAATGCTAACCTATTTTCTAGATATTTTGAACAATGTTATCAATATTTATTTCCACACATGTTGTTTGGTACTAGCATCTAATACCCTGTATTTGTAAATAAAGGCTATTCCCCTCCACCTTGAAGGATACAATATATAAAAGTACACATACATGACAAGAACAATTAGATATTTACATTTCAGCAAGACATTAGGTATTACAGAATGATACAGTTATCGTTTAATGTTTTTAATATAGAACTCCCAATTTATTTTAAAAAAACGTTTTTAAATGCTTTAGCTAACATCTAAGCACAACTTTTTAGGAACACATCTGTTGATTAAATAAAGATAAACCTGTTTTGAGTGAGCAAAATTACAATTGTACCAAATGCCTCTAATTTTTCATACTTTACCTAGAATTATTTCCGCATTTAAATTAGTTAATTGAAGTTTCTCCTTAATTACTTTTCAGGAATATCTCTTATTGTAATTATTTAAAGTATACAGTAATGTTCTAGAAAGAAACTATCTTCTCTACCTCATGTTTTTTAATGTGACCTTTCTTGATTCTAAGTAATGTTTTAAAGCTGTCTGTAAAATGTTTTGCTATCTGTAAAAATAGCAAAACAGTTCTTTTAAAAGAGCCTCAGTGCTAACAAGTCTCTTGATTCTCTCACAATGACACTACAAAGAGGAACATCGTCTCTAGGTTGAGCTATCTCAAATTTTGATTAGTGAGCTTTTACTAATAAATCTTGACCTAGTATTAAGTTGGGATTACATTTCATGAATAACTACATTCATTTTTTTTTTAAGTATGTTATTGAAAACTCACTAGTTAAAGAGCAAGGTGGATAGAAGCTCTAATAGCAAAACAAAAGAAGGGGGACTGGAAGGAGGCAAGAAAAGGGATGTGTTCATGTAACCTGCTTGAGCCATTCATCACCCAGCCAGACACACCTAGAAGGAGGTACTTTCCTATGTTCCTCTCTTAACTAATCTGAACTAGACAAACTTAAGCCAGTTTGACTGATATTTATTGTGACCAGAATGATGATATGCTGAATATAGATGATGATCAGTATGGAAAATAGTACGTCGTAAAGAAAGAAATGTAGACCGAGTAAACGCTACTCATGTTATCCTTCCCAAAAATCTCAAGATCAAACTACTAAGGCCTGCTTTGGAAACATTCTAGATCACTTTGAATTTACTCTATATTTAAAATAGTGATTATCAGACTTGTCCCAGAGCGTCAGCAGATTTGGTACCCCATCCCAGAGATGCTCATCCGATGTGTCTGGGGAGGAGGCCATGTATCTGCGTTAATTGGTGAGCACACTTGGTAACCCCTGTGCTGAGGTTCTACGCAGATCATCTTTGAGGACCACAAAGTAAATGGGGCTCAGGAATTAGGGTTCCAAGTTGAACCATGACAATTCTCATTGAGGGCTTGAAAGAAGCAAAGGTGGAGAGAAAAAAATTGGAAGTAAATGTATAAATTACCTTCATAGCAAAACCCTTATTTTAAAACAAAAATCTAAATATTGTATGCATTGTTAAATTTTAGTAGTGGACAAATGTTTGGACATGTGGAGTAAGTCAGAAGCTCTGTTCTGTTGTTTAGGAATTTGGAAGCTCCAGATATCCCAGTATATTCTGTAAAGGGCCACAAAGAAATTATAAATACTATAGATGGTGTAGGTGGACTAGGAATCGGGGAAGGAGCACCTGAAATTGTGACTGGCAGTCGAGATGGTAAGTCAAAGTATTCTATGTACTTAAATTTTCTTTGTAGATAAATCTCTATGCAGTGGTATATCCTCTGTATGTGAAAACCCTCATCAGTAAACCCCGACTCACTAAATCTCATAGCCTACCTTTTTAATAGGAAGGTTTGATTTCATAGCCCTCAGTTGTTTCAGACTTTAGGGTATTTTGAGAGAGAGGCAAGCACTTACTATTTTAGTTCTGAGCAAGTGTAACAAATAACCATAATTTCCTATGAACCTTGGAGGACTTAAAATTTCTTTACAGGTTTCTGAGGCGGCTGATGATACAATGTAGGTGGCAGCTTTTCATTTTCTTTCTTTAAAAAGCAGAATTAGTACTTGTGAAAATTGTCATTTGACGGCTGTTTGAACACTGACTTTCTGCGATCCTTCCGCCGAGCCTTGTAGAAGGTGCCAGGGGCACCAGCTCTGCCTCTCCAGCCCGGCGTGACTCCCGAGAAACGGGCCTTCTGATGTCCAGAGCTGCTCTGAGAACTGGAAAGGAGTCACAACTGTTGCCTCTTCACCAGGGGCACATAGAAATTTGGTACCTTGGTGGGCTTGGCTAATTTCTTAATGGCTGTCTGAGGCCGTGAGGAAATTATTTTACAAAGAAAAGCGAGATGCAATTTTCTAAGAGTTACTTAAGAGTGATTGTGCTTTAGACATCAGTTTTTTACATCATTAAAGCAATATGGAAAAAAAAAAAGCAATATGGAATATAACAATCTACCATACTAGCATACCCATTAGATTTGTTTTCCTTGCTAGTCTTATATACAATTTTATGTAGTTAACAGTGTGAATGTGATTTTTATCTTAACATTTTTCATTTAATGTTTTGTCATATACAAATGTTGCTGTTTCCATATACTTTTCAAAAGTATTGTTTCAATAGCTAAATGTATAATGTTCTATCCGGTGATGTGTCACAGTGTCCTGAACCATGCCCCTGTTAGTAAGCATTCAGTTTGCTCCAAGTGTTTTATTTTTGGGGGAGAGTGACTTACAAAGAGTAAAAAAATGAGTATCATCATACATATAGCTCTTTTGGAATAAAAGTTTTTTATGATTTAAAAAATTTATTGTCAAACTTTCCAAAGTACCCTTTACATTGTCAGCTCCAGTAGATGAGGTAGAGCTCCAGACTACTCTGCCAGCACTGATCTTTCCCCCTGATATTTTTTAGGTAAAAATGGTACTTTCTTTCCAACTTATGTTAATGTCTTCCTGTATCTCTTTAGTAGCTAATTTTGCTGTGTGAATTGTGCACATTGTTAGCTCACTTAACTGTTATAAGCTTAATATGAATCATCAATTTGTATGAACCCTGTAATTTAATAACCTTGTCACATTTGTGAGAAATTTTTTTCTCCTTAAAGCTGCCTTTTTAATGACCAACTTAATTTCATCCTTGGAGATAAATCTAGTGGGAAAGTTCCTCTTTTTCTGAGTTTATTACCCTTTTTAAGGATATTTTGCCCTTTTCCTGTTCTTTCAGCTACTTGCCTTTTAGCCACCTTATTAAGTGTCTTTGTGTTTCTCATAGGCAATGATGCCATTTAGTTAGTAGTCCTGTAATTTGCATTAAAATAACGGAGTTGAAATTAAGTTAAGAATTATTTGTTAATTTTATTTACTATTTCCCTTTTCTCTGTTGCCACAGGGAAATTAAGTTTAATTGTATATGAGATAGTATTCCAAAACCCATATAAAAATCATAAATAGAAAAATGAGTTTATTCATCTGTATAAGAAAAAATGCCATTGCTTATATGGGTAGTAAGGAAAAAATAAAAATTAAGATGACACTGGTATTCCAAATAAACAGCACATTAGTTTTAGGCTCAGAGAAAATAAGGCATGGTTTGAATTATATATGTACATTTGTGTTTTCCTTGCCTACCATACCTTCTTGATAATTTAGGAACCAGCTGTTGGCTTTTCTGTGTAGCTATTAATTTGGAAATCAAGTCAGACAGTAGCATATGGATTATAGTATCTCTGATATTATATATAATTTGCCCAATTAGAAGTCATAAAAATGTATTTTTCAGATGTAATAACATCTATAATTCTGCCATGTACACCACAGGAAGCCATAGAAAGAGATGCAGAAGAGAAATGTCATCATTTACTATTGAATTTTGCCATCTCACTTTTACTCGTGGCAGGAACTGTGAAGGTGTGGGACCCAAGACAAAAAGATGATCCTGTTGCTAATATGGAACCTGTACAAGGAGAAAACAAGAGAGACTGTTGGACTGTGGCATTTGGTAAATTATTCAAGACCCCTTGCATTTGAAGGATCAGATAGTAAAAAAGCACAGTGCTTCAAGAAAGTCCTGATGGTCTTTTTATGGTCTACTTTGTGGATTATTGTGACAGCTTATTGAGGCAAATAGACATGGTAGTTAATGTCAACTTCTGGGGCCAAGGTTTGAATACTCACTGTGCTACTGTTTGGCTCTGTGACTGGCTTTGGTATCTTGGGACAAGAAACCAAACTTCTCTGTTCCTTGGTTGCTTCATTTATAAAGTGGAACTAATAGAATTTACCCAATAGTGCCGTTATGGGGGTTCAATCAGTTAAAACATATAAAGTGCATAGAATTGTGCTTAGATTATGAAGTGCTCAAAATATTTGCTATTGCTATGTACTTCTGTTTAACTAGATCATATTGACCTAATTTATAACCAGATGCCATTAATGGAGCTAAGAAGAGCCTCAGGTTATTGTGACAGCTTATTGAGGCAAATAGACATGGTAGTTAATGTCAACTTCTGGGGCCAAGGTTTGAATACTCACTGTGCTACTGTTTGGCTCTGTGACTGGCTTTGGTATCTTGGGACAAGAAACCAAACTTCTCTGTTCCTTGGTTGCTTCATTTATAAAGTGGAACTAATAATAGAATTTACCCAATAGTGCCGTTATGGGGGTTCAATCAGTTAAAACATATAAAGTGCATAGAATTGTGCTTAGATTATGAAGTGCTCAAAATATTTGCTATTGCTATGTACTTCTGTTTAACTAGATCATATTGACCTAATTTATAACCAGATGCCATTAATGGAGCTAAGAAGAGCCTCAGGTGCAAATGGTAACCCAGCAAATCTTACATTATACTCTACACAGGTTATGTTTATTATAGTTATGCTATTACAACATCATTTCTTATAATTGGATATCTGTGTTACTCTACTAATACTTAAAATGAAGATTGATTTTGTAGGATTAATTGATGTGTGCCATTGTGTCTCTCTCTGAGCACCAAAATTAGAATAATTTTTGCCACTAAAGGATATAGGCCACACTTAGTTTAAAACCTCTATTTTCTTTTCCCTTTTCCTATTATAATCCTGTGTAGATAACAGACATTAAAAATGGGATTTAACAATATATGTGAACTGCTTAACTTTCTATGTTATTTTGAGATTGCACCATTATTAAGAGGAAAGTTTTAGATTTCCAATTCCAAAAATAAATTATTGTATGGAAATTCTAAAAGATTAAATGTACAAGCACAGCATTCTTATATTATGAGCAATAATATATAAACTTAAGACATGTATACTTTGGGGAGAAATTTCAGGATAAATATTTAGAATTATCACCTAAACATTAATATAACAATTAAAAAATGATTATCTTTGGGTCTGTTAAAGCCTTTCATCATTGATCTACGGGAAATAAGTGCAATTTTAAATATGGGATATTAAGTTAAAAAAACATTTACGCATTGATTTGGGAATATCTTATGAATGCCCAGTATGTGCCAAGTATTGTGGGCTTGCGAAGGTGAAAAGACTCACATCCTAGCCTCAAGAAGCTTACAGTTTAGTAAAGAGGGGATGATATCTATATTAATTATAGTACCAGGTTGGAGTGAAAAATGTCACAAGAGTCATGGATGGATGAATGCAGGAATCCCCAGGGAGAAATGGCTGGGAAGGAAGAACATTTTGACCTCAGACCAAGGATATATAGGACTTGAACCACTGAAATTGGGAGGAAATTTCAGGCATAAGGAATAGCTTAAAAAATGCCCAAGAAATACGTAGAAGTGGTAGGAAAAGCTTTAAGGATGGCTCAGGGCCACAGCCAGAAGTGTTTAGATGGTGTCAACATGGTAGTAAATCCTTGAAGGTTTCTGCAAGGATGAGATGTGATCAGAGCTTTAGGAAGACCAAGCTAGCACTGTGTAGTGGGGACAGATGAGTAGCAGAGGTACTCCAGAAAAAAAATCCCTGGATCCAAGCAGCATGAATTTACAGATTGTAAACTTATTACATGTGTGATCATCCCTACAACCAAAACTATATCAAAGTGTGTTACAGCTTTGTTGTATTACAGGTTTCCTTGAAAAGACAACACCAGAACAGCATTTTGCAAAATAAATTTAAAGTAGTTTCTGTGTGTATCCAAATATAGTTACTGTCAAAGAAACAATAGATGCATAGCTGTATTTATTCTACCAAACCCTACTGTACTTGAACTACAGTTGGCCTGTTAGTCTTTGCTGATGTAATAGAGAGAGAACATTTGCTTTCAACTTAGGATCTAGTAAATACTTTCATGTATCCCCTCAGTACAGAATCTCAATGAATGAACTTTTAAAAAAAAATTATTAGATACCAAATGAATAATCATGATGTCTTGTCATTAGTAAATGATTACGAAAATGAGATTCTGCCTAATGTTATTTTTTTATCTGATTTGGTACAAAGTGTATGTGTAGTTTTGTAAGATTATATTAGCAGCCTTCAAATTAGCATTTATAAAGATCTGAAATGTTGTATCTTGACTTGCAGGCAATGCTTATAATCAAGAGGAACGTGTTGTTTGTGCTGGCTATGACAATGGGGATATCAAACTGTTTGATCTCAGAAATATGTCATTGCGGTGGGAGACGAACATAAAAAATGGGGTAATGTACATTGGGATTGTTTTTACTTTCTCTGAGCATGTTTCATCTACCTCTGAACTGCTTACAAAAGGAAACCACCTCTAATAACTTATCTCAGTACAGCCTCTCTACCAGTGGTTCTGACCTTTTGGGGCTGCTAAGCCCTTTGAGAATCTTACGAAAATCATGGATCCTTTCTTCAGAAGGTGAACACACTCCTAGGTATGGTGTGACAATGCTGGGTGGGTCAGCAGTCCCTGCAGCCTGTCTGTGGACCCCTGTGGGCCGTACAGTGTGCTACTAAAATAAGCTGGTAAGAGGCCTTTTTTCTAATACTGGAAAGCCTGAAATTGTAACAGCCTCCCCAAGTACTTTCAGAGTTCTGGGTCCTGAGCTGTACACTTTTAGTGAAGAATGTGGTTCCCTCCTGTTTTTCAGTCAGCCCAGACTTGGCTGTATAAAATAATTATGTAATAACTATTAGCAATTAAATTATGGCTCTCCAAATTGATCTACTGAACAGAGAATATCTAGGAATGCCTTGTTAATCCTATTAACCAAGAAAAATTTTTTTGCCTCAGAGTATTTGATGTATTGATTCCAATGATAAAAATGATTGTTAAGATGCTTTATGAGCATATAATTTTAAAGTTGTTTTACTTAAAAGGAACTCCTGAATAATTAGACCATCAATAGTAAATATTCTCTTTTCAGGTATGTAGCTTGGAGTTTGACAGAAAGGACATAAGTATGAATAAGTTAGTAGCTACATCTCTGGAAGGAAAGTTTCATGTTTTTGACATGAGAACACAGCATCCCACCAAAGGTTTTGCCTCTGTTTCAGAAAAGGTAAATATGAGGGAAATATCTTTCTATGAAGAGGAATGTTCATAGCTTGTTTGACTAATAAATAGAAGTCACCAAGGTTCCTTCCAGGTCTTTCTATGAAGGGACCTATTTTTTGTATTGTCTTCTGGGATTGTGACAAAAGTTGGTCTGTACAAAGAGTACTTTCCTAAAGTTTATCAATTTTAGACTTCTTGATTATATAGTAAAGGCCTCAGTTGGCTAGGAGTCTTATTTTAGAGCTTAAGAGCAATCACAAAAAACTAGCTGATGTTAAGGATTTGACCAACAAAATAGTCTGGTGTTTTCCAATGAGTAAATAACATTTGTGTTAATAACCAATTACATACTTTTCAAAATATATCAATGTATATACATTATATCCTATCATCACATTTTATTTTATATTCCCGCTTGCTATATTAAATGCAATTATTTAAAGTACTAATTGCTATGATTGCTACATAGTAGTTGTAAAAATACTCATTTATACATATACATACATACATACTTTGCCTTATTCCAAAGGAAACATACAGTATTACAACATCAGAAAAATAGATGAAGAAAGTAGGACAAAGGGAAAATACTGGCTAAAAGAAAAAAAAAAGTGATGCCTGGAGTAGGGGATTGCATAAAATTCATGCTGAAACATCCTGTCATTTGTAAGAGATGGGTTGGAAATGGGACTCAGCTTCCTCAAGTATAAAAATAAAGAGCAGTTACAGATTGCTAATTTCCATAAGATTAAAATATATTTAAGTTGCTCAGGAAAGAAAAATTCACTCCTCTCCCTCCATTGTGGATTTATTAGTACTTCTCAAACCTTTCTATTTTGTCTTATTTTATTGTTACAATAATTATTATTATTGCATGTAAATTACTATCACTGCCTGATGAACTAAACTCTTAGCAAGGTAGCTATAAAGTATAATATTGTTTTGCTTTGTCATTTCAGAATATATTAAATATCTATCAACAACATAAAACACTTTACTAAATTGTTCCATATACAATTGCAACATGTCTTTCATTTTTTATAAATCATGGTGTTGTCTCCAAAATTTTTTGTTATAGTTAATGAATCCAGTACTTGGCTAAATCTTTCAATGACTGTGGTGTATTTTAAGTGGTCATTTCCCAAACTCTGGCTTTTTGGTTTTGATCAACTTTCAGAAGAAAGAGAGAAGTTTAAACTACAAAAAGAAAATTTAATTTAACAGCATGAACCTAATCATTTGAGGACTCTCACACACTTTGTGCATTTTGAGAAATGTGTTTTTATCTGCTAATGGTAATTCTTTTAAAAGACTATTAGTGTCAGATGTCAAGACTAATCACGCACTAAAATGTGAAGTGTCTATGTGTGACTTAGATCAAGTCGGCAAGTCTCACTCCTACAAAGCAGAGAAGTCTTTCATGCCTCACCCTCCCTGCCTCTCCTCAGGGTCCTCACAGTGAATGCTGCACTCTTAATACTGATTTTACTTCCTGTTATTGAGGTGCTTACAAACTGTTAACCTTCTTCCAGTTGCCATTTGTCTTTTAGTTTAATATGACTGAGTAAGGCCTTGGCTTATTATGACCATAAACACTATCTGTAAGTCCTCATGGTCCTGATTTTGAAGACTAGACAAGTCAAGTGGTATCAATTGAAGATAAGGCTCTGGGAGTTTTTAAGTTAAAATTCATTCTGTATATGGGAACTCTGTACTTCTCACTCAATTTTGCTATTACCTAAAACTGCTCTAAAACATAGTTTGTTGAAAAAAAACTCAGTCTATTCTTTTTCCTTTAGGAGAAACTATATGCTTTGTTTTTGAGGGTTCTCCCACCCTTAGAATGAGCTAGAAAAATTTAAATGTGTAAAATCTATTTGCATAACTCATGGTATTATAAACTTAAATGCCCATTTAATCGATAACATCTTTTCTTAATCATGTAGAACTTAGTTTCTTAAAGCAATGAAGAAAAATGATGCTTTTTCTAATTTCTGATGGACTCTTACAAATCTCCAGCCATTAGAAAGACGTGCCTGAAAATAACTGTAATTACTTTTGTAACAGTTGAAATTATAGTAGAAAAACTATTTGCAGAGTTTCCTTTCTAGGGCAGTCTTTGTTTATTATATAAACTTAAAAACTAGTTGTGCTGCCTCCTCTCTTGTTTAGGCTCACAAATCTACGGTGTGGCAGGTCCGACACCTGCCGCAGAACAGAGAGCTCTTTCTGACAGCTGGGGGTGCTGGCAGCCTGCACTTCTGGAAGTAGTAAGTCTCTCCCAGTGCACATCGCTCCTTTTTAAGCTACGTGTGGGTGGAAGTAGGATTAGGTTGAACTTCATTATCTTCTGTTCCTCTTTTTACTGAGCTCATTTTGATATGACTTTAAATTTTATGGTATTATGTAAGTGTTTTCTCAGCCTTTTTATTATTATAGTTATTTATACTTAGTAAATAATGTCTTCTTGACATTAAATCTATTTGTCATTTTAGTTGTGTCTTCCAATATATGTGAATAGCTTCAGAATAGTTGTTTTCATAGATTTGAAATCATCGTTTTAGCTAGTTGTTTTTTTTTTAATATGACAAATTTGACCAAAGGCTTTTGTGAAATATTGCCATCTGGTCCTTAGAACACTACCTCTAGAAAACAGGAAAAGGGTTGGAGTTCTGAGTTTTAATCCTGATAATTCAGTTGCCCAAGTTCAGGTAACATCACCAAAAAAGAACCAACACAGAGTCCAGGCCTCTGATTAGTCTCCAGAGAAGTCTTGTCGTTGGGTTGCTTTCTGCATACTGTGAGCTGGGGGAGTGCCAGTGACAGCTCCCTAAGGTGACAGATCCTAGGTCAGCTAGCTACTTAGTTAAAAGGCCTGATAAAATTGGGAGTTAATGGTGTATGTATCTTTTTCTAAACATCCCTCTACGCAAAAAACCACACAACACATGCACATAAATGAAAGTTAAGGTGAATGCTTTAGATCAAGACTACATAGTTTCTGTGAGTAAAAAGCACAGGGAAAGTTTCAAGAGTTCTGAGAGAATGTCTGGCAGGTAAGTCATCTGGTAATTTCCCATTTCCTAGCACCTCGCCTCTTGTCCTCCTCTGATTCTTCCAGCCCAGTCTCCGCTCCTTGTTTGTTAGCCTCTGCCAACCCCCTTAGTTAAACCAAGCGGCTGCACATCACTTTGTACTTGACCAAGCTCTTTAGGTGGCTTGCTTGAGGAACGAGTCCCAAAGTTTCTTTGTAGTCCACATAGGGAGTTGTATTCTATGTGACGTACAAATGCATTTACAGCTAGAATTTTTGCTGTAGTGTAAAGTTGGATCTCAATGCAGTTAGAAATTTGGAGTTTATCTCAATATGAGCCTTACTCCTTACCTTAACAGCTATTTAGTCTAATCTTCAGTTGGTTTGGAGCTTTGCTGTCAAGTATTCTATCAGCAAAGGAGAAAGTAAAATGATACTTAGCTTTATTTCCACTTGTCTCCTTTGATAGCAAAGCAACTAACTTATAGATATTTACAGAGAACCTAACCAGAAATTCCTAGAGGAAGTCATCAAGTTATTCAGAAATTGTTTTTTTAAAAAAAATAGACCCCCATATGCTGATTTTTTTGCATATTTGAAACATACACATATATTCCTAAAATTTTAATAGACAATATGGTGGGTTCAAAAAACATGTTGTCTTTTAAATACTGAAGAACTGCATCCTTCACCAAGAGACATATGAAAAGTTATGCAAACTGTTTATTCATCTGAATATTTTATTCCTTTTAATCAAAAGAAGTGGTAGGGTCTGAAGGGAAGAAAGACAAGTAGGTTACTATCTGTCATTTCTTCCATTTCTACTCTGCTTCTGAGTTGCTTTGTGCCCCTTAGACTCTTAGCCCTTTATGAGAACTTCAGAAATAAAAATGGTGTCATGGTTGATATGTAACAGGCTTTAAAAGGTTTTATGAGGAGAGGGACCCTTGTATTTCACTAGGAATGCATCTCTGTGGGGAGAGGGATGTTTCTTCCCCACCCATTCTGGAATCTAAACCAAATAGTATTTAAGAGTTAACCTTCAGTTCTTCTTACTTTATAAATAATGTTTTCTGATGAAGGAAAACCAGTGTTCTTGGAATTGCTTTTTTCTTTTTTGAAGCAATGGTGTTTGTCTTAAATCTCATCCCTGCAGTGCCTTCCCATAGGAATGGGACCCAGAGGGTCCTTAGGCTTGGATCTGTCTGGTGGAGCTCTGGGGTTAGAAACCAGGGTCTGTTCTAGATGTGTGTGGGTGAGGTTCTGCAAATGTTACTTACAGCTTTTGCACATGTGGTTTGCCCATGGCATCTAGTCAGCTGATTCTGGAGAATTACAACGGAAGATTTTCAAGAGCACCGAGTAAATTCATTAAAGAATGCTAGGTCAACCTAGAACTTTCACGTTAAAAGAGAAGATATGGATTCACACTGAACAGAATGATATTCAAGTTTTTAGAAGAACCAGCCCTTCATAGGATTTTTTGGGGGTTGAGATTGAAGTTGAAATAGTGTCACTTTATTTGCATACAGTTCTACATTAGCAAGATTCTTTAAGTATTTATTAGTTCCAGTAATCAACTGAGAAACAAAAATAGAGATATTGGAGTACATGTATAAAAATAATAGGGAGAATGCTAAGGTTTTTCCTCTCATCACTTTGATCTTTGTTTCCAGCGAATATCCTATTCAGCGGTCAAAGAAAGATTCCGAGGGAGTAGAGATGGGAGTAGCAGGTTCTGTCAGCCTTCTCCAGAACGTCACCTTGTCAACGCAGCCCATTTCCAGTTTGGACTGGAGTCCAGATAAAAGGGGTCTCTGCATCTGTAGTTCATTTGATCAAATGGTGAGAGTACTGATTGTTACAAAACTCCATAAAATTTGATCTGAAGACTGAACTTGAAACCTTCCAGAGGAGCACTTGTAGAATTCAGAGGGCTCTCTGGGACTCTCTGACTGTCTTGGAACAAAGGGGAATTTGACTGATGAAAAAGGCTCCCGAAGAAACCTCTGGGCTGGCCTGTCTCCAGGTGTACAATGTCGAGCGGTTGTTCTGGGACCAGCCTGGCCGCTGCTTGCTGCTGCCCACAGGCCACCACTCTCTCCAGAGCCAGCTCTGTTCCTTCCCCTCCAGGTCTAAGAAAGAGTAAATACTTGTGTATATTTAAGCATATTTTGAATTTGTTCTGCATCCCTAAGACTACTTATTTTATCATAACACTTGTGTTTTAGTGTTCACAGTATTGTGGTAGGGATCACTTAATTTGGTTTAAAATAATTTGCTTTGGTAAACTACTGTGAACTAAGCTTTGTAAACACACTTTGAGAGATTTCATTGTCTGTAAGTTTCTGTAAAGAATATTACTTTATAAAACTACCAAAGTAGCACAGTCAGACTAGATTTGGGTAACTGTTTCCAGCAGTATAACTCATACAGTAAATACTTGATTTACAAAGACCTCTTTTTTTACTCAAAAAAAAAGGAGTTGAATCAGTGAGACTTTGGGCTGTTGATGGTAGTGATGTTGAGATGCACACAAGATTGTGAGGGTTTTGTACCCTTATTTTTTGTCAAACCTTTTTATATATTTTATGAATAAATTTCTGTTCTAGCAATCTATAGATGACTTGATTCTTTTAGCTTCACAGCAGTAATAAAGCCAACACCATCACTTCTTTTGCTTTATAAATACTTAATAAGGACTCCTTCATTCACTTTGTTTCTTTAATGTTCACCATCTACTGAAGCTCAGCAGTATTAACTTTAGTCACACTTTCATTAAGCCTCTCCTCCTTCCTCCCCATTCACAGGACAGAGCTGCCTGAAACATTTGTAATACGGAAAATTCAGGTGATTTCAGGGGTTCTTGGAAAGCCACTTGTTTAGAATATTAAATTCAGAAACTTAACTTTTTAAAAAAATCCTGAAATGTTTTGTAGCACAATGCTATAGATAAAATTATGGAAGTAAAAATTAAATTGAGCTTAAAAAAAGCTGTTTCCTGCTGGGTTTGGGGGAGTTTTTTTGTTTGTCTTTTTTCCACTTTCAAAGAACAAGTGAAAACCTTGTGAAATTCTTTTGTAGAACACCTGTGTTTGGTAGCATGATTGGAGAGGTTCACGTCAAAAACAATACTTGTATTTCATTGAATCTAAGATGTCATTGATTGTATGATTATCATACACCACTGAAAAAGGAAAATGTTGCCAGTGAACAGATAGACTGCTTTTTTGTCAGCATTTCTCTAATATTCACTGAATGTTCTTTTAGTCTTATTTAGATCAGGTTTTTTTCATTATGTATCACTCCTGTGCATCTTTATAAAGGCAAGATATATACAAAATAAATTTGGTATTCCTCTATTTTTTCCTATTCAGTCTGATCTCTCTAAATCAGTTTTTGAATTGAGTCATTAATGTTCCTGTTTTCCCTTACAATATTGTCCTTCCACCATAAAAAATGGTGGTGGTACATTTCTTTATAATGTGCTTCTTTACTGTCTTGAGGGTTTTCTTTCAATAAACTCTTTAAGTTTGGGTGCACGCATGCAGGCCGTGAGAACTGTCCTGGTTGCTGCCTGCTTTACCTGGATTGTTTCAGTTGTTGGTTGTTATGTAATAAACCACTGCAAAACTTAGTATCTTAAACTAGTAATGGTCATTTACTTGCTTAGGAATCTCTGATTTGGGCAGGACTCAGCCGGGAAGGTCAGTCTGTGCTCCATTCAGCATCATTTGTCATTCCAGCAGCCTTGTTTAGGGCTGGAGGATCTGCTTCCATAGTGGCTCTCACATACCTTGCTGGCTGTCCGCTGGGACCTCAGCCAGACCTGAGCACCAGGAGCCTCGCCACATAGCATGGGCTTCCTCAGAGCATGGTGGTTGGGTTCCAAGGATGGGCATCCCAAAGGAGAAGGCCAGGTAGAGAAGCAATATCATTTTTTAATGGCCTAGGTTCATAATTTACTTAGTGTCACTTTTGCCACACTCTTTCAGTTGAGGCACTCACAAAACACTCTCCACCCCCAGTTTGAGGGAAGGGGGCATAAATTCCACTTCTTAATGGGGGCTTGACTGGTTTCTGGAAGAGTGTGTGTGATTTGAAATACTGTGTCTATTTTTGGAAAATATAATCTGGCATAGTGATGATAAGATGTATCTTAATTTCAAGGATATAAAAATGGAGTGAGCAGGTGATGGGTTTGTTAGAATTGATGAAGTATGTTACTTGCAATGCAGATCTCCTATCCTGCTTATCTGCCTACACCACTCCTGCCACTAACCTAATGCAGACATGACTAGTCAGTCATGACATTCATTTTCTCTGAGCCTCACGAGCTTTATCACACTGTTAGGAGCTACTAGCAGTTGTTGGTGATGCCCTGTGAAGGCCAGCTGGCCCCCTAGACCAGGCATCAGTACCTCAGTGTGGACCCCATCAATCCTTGGCTTTGTCAGTATCTGAAGAAATGATGAGGCGCTACTGCCCCAGACCATATTCACCAAATATACAAAAACCAAACAGCACTTCATGTGAATCCATGAGGGAGGAGACTCCTAGGAGCCACAGTGCTCCAGTCGCCAGCTGGGGTACCTCTTCTTCATGTCAGCTTACCTGAGGCGCTGTGTTGTTCCGATGGCATCCTGTGAGTGCGGGCTCACACACAGACGTGGGCAATGTTGAGAGTATTCACCCGGGCCTCTGGGAGGCCTAAGAATACCCACCTGGGGTGGTGGGAGCCTTGGGGACTATGTGTGCTGCGCAGCTACCGCACTCGTTGCCATCCTCCTTCCGCAGGGCACGGAGCCCTTGCGGGAATTCCTGCAGTAATTATGGGGCCTAGGCACTTCCAGGCAAGTGCTGCTATGTAAGACATGGGGGTTTTTTTCTGGTCACTAGAATTCCTAAAGTAGGTGAAGTAGGCCTTGCATATAAAGCTGATTTGTACAACTTGAATGTAATACCACAGTCTCCATCCAGTTGCTATGGCTAGTTTGAAAGATGAGTGGGCAGCTGGCTTTTAGCCATTTCTAAAAAGGACTGGTTGGTTATTTTGCCCAGGAAGACCCCTCCCTGAATGTCTGGCCACCCTGGTTGTGTTGTGCAGCCTTCCCCTATTACTCTGGATGGGATTAGGCTGCCAGGCCCCTATTTGCACAGAGCTCTCCCCTAGAGCTGGGCCATGTGCAGCAGTCCTTACAAACTGGGGGGCCTGACCCTGCCTCCTCAGAGAGTTGGGAGCACTGGGCTCATGCTGTTCACAGACCTGTTGGCACCTGCCTATCACCCAGCCACTGAGGACTCAGGGCTGCTAGGACAGTGCACCCTACCCCACTCCAGCCCATGCTCCTGAGTGCTGCTTGCAGTGCGAGAGATTCTCAGGCCGGTGGACTCCCCCTTATCTTTCCTGAAGAGGTCCAGGTGGACAAGTGGCCTCACACAAACTGTATTTTATCCAGACCCTGCGAGTCTCTGCCACACATCCTTACAGCCTAAATCTAAGGATTTAGAGGGAAAAGAATGCCTATTCTTAATCTTGAACCAGAAAAGTAGGTGGTTCTTCATCAGAACAACACAGAGGGAACAGATGCAGACTAGCTGCACAATGCCATGGCCATTAGTGCTGCTGTCCACAGGGTTTGCATATTTTGAATCAAACATCAAGTGTGAATGCAGGAAGAGATTTTGACTTTCTGGTCTTAAGTCATAAAGGGAGATTCAGGATGAACTACCAGGGAAAACACAAATGTCAGAAAAACTATAGTTGTGACCAAATACAGCTGCATTGATTCAGTAATGCTGGAGAGATTTTCATGAAAAATTTTTTTAACCAATGAGCTTTGCTTATTGTGTCCTGATCCAACTCTCTCCTTAAGCCAACTTAAAACTAGATCACCCAGCAATGCCCTTCATACAACATTCAATAAATGTTGATTGGTGATCAACGAAATAAAGACAAAATGAGTAACTAGGGAAAACGTTTGTCTTATTTCTGACCTGTTTTCTCAAGGTATTTCTATTGATGAGGACTAGGTTCAGCTGCAGGTAACTGAAAACCCCAAAATATATTTTTCTCTTTCTTTTATAAAAATCTAGGTAGGCAGTCCAGGCTGCTACGGTGGCTCCCAGTTACAAGAGACCTGACTCTACCTTGTTTTTTTCACCATCCTTGTTATGGCCTTTTACCTCATCTTCTAATGTGGCTGCTCCAGCTCCAACCATCACATTCACATGCCAGTTATCAGCAAAGTAGGAAATGTTAGAAAAAGGATACCCTGCCACTTTACAGAATACCATTTCTGGTTTCATTCCATTGACCATGGTTTGCTCGTGTGGTCCCACCTACTGTAGCAAGGCTGAGAGACAGACTTTATTCTGGGCAGTGATATTCACAACTCACATCCAGGAGTCCTGGTATTGAGGGAGACAGAAAAATGGTATTAGGAGAAGCCACATATGTGACTTCTCCCATAGTGTAACAGGAAGCCAAGCATAAAGTCTCCCTGGCTTTAAGCTCTCCCACAGGTGAAAACTAGGGAATTATCAATTCATGCTTCTTTAAGCCATACAGTATGTACTTTTTCTGACAGTATCTCCTCCCAAAGATGGTGGAGACAATGGCACAGGTGAATCACTTGCTTTCCTGACCTGTTGAATCACTGTTGTTATTCTTTCCATGCATTTAGTGGAAGCCCCACCAGTACAAAAATATGAAGGAGAAATACCTCCTAAAAACTCAAACGGATCTTCTATCCTAAATTTCTTTTCCTGGGAATTTATTTTTACTTAATAATACTTTGTGTCAAACCGTAAGCACTAGGTCCATTTGCTGGCAGTCCAAAGACATGCTCAGCAGAACATGAACTGAACATTTTACCTTCTGCGTTTCTATAAACTCACAAAAGACAGTTTCAGGGAAAAAATGTATTTATGACTTAGTGTGTATTGGTACCTGCCTAAAATGACTTTCGTTGGTGATCGAGGTGGATATATTTTTGTATTGGTATAGAAAAAATAATTTGTTTCTGTTATTGTCTAAGGGCAAAACGATTTTGTCCGTTTTTTGCATGGGAACAGCCAAGAAGTTTCTGGCAGATACTTAGAGCTCTCAGTTATGCCGAGGCACTATGAGATCTGCTTTTTTTTTTTAGGGAATTGTCTTCCTCCTGGGAAGAAGGCACTCCAGGGCCCTGCATTCTGCGTATCAGGCCTTTGTGGTAACGCAAGACCCTGGGGTACGCTGCCCCCTTGTGGGGAAGTGTGGGCATTGACGACCGCAAGAAAATGGATTTTGCCTTTGAAATGCAGCCGGAAAAAATCCATAGTAGTGTACACACAAGTCAAATTGGACCTCAAGAACGACATTACCTTACGAAAATTTCTTCCCCAAATGCGAATGTATTTATGAAAAGAAACGGCCTAGCATGGCCAAGTTTGTTTTACCCAATGGATTTATTAGCCAAAAGTTACGAACTTAGCTTTATTAGAGATCCAATTTTATTTTTAGTGCACCATGAGAGCTAACTTCTAAGAGGAAACATTGGCGTTTTATAAAGTGAGGGATTGCTTTGTAACTACTATGTGCTTCCAACTACCACTGCCACTTCTTTCTGTAACTTATGATTTTGACATGAAGGATTTCTCAAAGTAAGGATTTCATATGGACTAGTGCCCCTGCAGAACTCCCAGACTGTCTCCCCACCTTCCTTGCTTGGATTTTGCATGGGAGATGGTCGTCGCTTTCAAAGGCTAATTCTGCATGAACAAGTCAGTGAGCAGGAGCTTCCCCTGCTCAGTCTGGCTGTGGAGCGAGTGCACAGCTGAAACAGGCAACATGGAGGAAACCGTGTAGTCAGAGGGACTCCGTTCTCCCTCACAGCAGGCTGGGACTCTCAGGCCTCCTGCTCCTCATTTTAAGTCTTCAACTTTTCTTCCTTATCCGTAAGAATACTCACACTAGGCCTTTCATAGCAAAACAGAATGTGGGCTTTGAAGAGGCCTCAGACTTGGCTGAGGCCGGACCTTCTATCTGGAGACACCCAGGTGTTTGGCTGCAGAACCCTTGTGCAGTGCTCTCCTCCCTGCACAGCCGGAGGCCGTTCTACACTCCCTTCCCTCTGAGAAGCAGGGCACCTCTCAGTCCACCAAGCCAGATCAGATGCACAAACAGCACCACAGAGAGAGGCAATAGGGTAAGCAAATAAATAAAAGAGCAGGGAGGAGCAAGCTGTGGTCTGGCACTCACCACCCGGCCGATAAACAAGTGTTTGATCTGGGCTGAGCACCTCCGTTACATGGTGAGAGAGAGCATTCGCATTCAGAGGCAGTCTGTGTTTACTGTGCACACAGGTGCAGCCCTATTAGTGCCAGCC